CGACGGGACTGGTGCCGGAGATCTTAAATAGGTGAGTAATTCGGCGTCCCATGATATTGTCTTCTTCTATCAATGCTACTTATCCATCCTTAAATACAATTACTGAACGACTGCTTAGTAATCTACAAATAAACAATAAATAACATATTATTATAAAATCAACAACGTCCTCTGTATTATTAATGTTTAGCGCCATTAACTACTACTTTATTTACTACAATTATGTGAACGGCCTAGAGTAAAGTTTCTCTAATCGCATCGCCCATTCTTTGCTTTCTCGGGGTCAATACTACCGAAGTCCGCAACTATTTAACGAGAACTGAGCAAAGGTAAACGTCGACCTATGAGAGTAGCAGCTGAGCTTGCGCAGCGTTTTACCTCGTGGACTGCATATCTCGATAAGCTCATTTTTTATTGGACTTGCGATACGAGTGTTCGGTCTCGTATGTAAATCATCATCGCGTGCTAAGAGAGCAAGGAGCCATAAAACCATGGAGTACGTTTATTTTTAAAGCGATTCCTGGAGCACCGGGGCGCGCCTCCATTCAGCAGTTCACGCGACATTATGTAAAAATTTAACGCTATGGTTATAATGCGAGCTTGAAACGACTTATTTCTCGACAGGAGAAACAAATAGACGCGGGAGTCGGAATTTTCGTTTAGCGAGCGATCGAGTCCCTGCGAGTCCGATCAATCACCGGCGAATCCCGCGCTCCTATCAATTAGCGCGATTTATCAATCCATTAATCGCCCTGAGAAGCGATCGAGTCCCGAGGGAAAGTCGGGCGCGCCTAGCATTGCCTCGGGAATAGGGAACAATCGATTCGGCCGGATAATGGCCGAAAATAGCCGAGGGCCCAAGCTTAGCAATGTTTATCTCTTCTCCTTTGCCGCCTCTTGCCGCGGAAAAAAAATCCAGTAACGGTTCTCGTTTGCCTCTTCTTCAGCCCACTCTCCCCAGCTGGATTCGTATTTATACGCGAAATAAGTAACGGCAATCGAGACGCCGATTCTGGGAACTGGCTTCCGCATACGACCGGAAGCTCGCCCGCCTAATTCATTCTTGTCAGCGCGTTTCCCGCGGGCCCGTGTCACATCTCTATTGTGCCAATCGATCATACGGACAGGAAGAAGCGGAAATAGGGAAGGGATCATGGTTTGCTCGGGATGCTGCGACAGAATAGCGGCTCGAGAATTTAAGAGAGCTTTTTGCCGATCGAACGTACCGGTCGATGCCTTCCCATCGTTAGTTTTTTACTGATATAATCTCGTACAATATCCTCTTTCGTTCTCTCCGCCGTCTTCATCGTCCGTATCTCGCACATCTGAGCGTCGCACACCGAGAATTCTCTTTATTTTTCTCGCGCAGTCAACGCTCCCGACGATCCAATGGCTTATCTCACGGAAGTATTTTCGTAGTGTGAGCAATGCGCTGAATGGGGACTCTTGAGAGGAAACGGCGGAATGCAAGCTCGCGTAAGCTCAAGTCAATCTTGGAACAAGTCGAGGGCAAGTTGAGAGAGAGAGAGAGAGAGAGAGAGAGAGAGAGATGAGAGAGAGAGAGTGAAAGAGAGAGAGAGATGAGAGAGAGATGAGAGAGATGAGAGGTGTGGTGGGGTGAGGTGATGGGGGGCGGGGGGGGGGGCGTGCACCTAATGATGTAATAGCGAGCATACGACGTGCGTGGCCTTACCGGCTAACTAAAAATTCAACAATGAACGAGGAGAGTTCTTCTGATGAGCCACTCCCCTCCACCCCACCCCCTTCCCTCCTGACACACCAGCCCGATGCTCGCCGATAACTGCTGCGTGGAATCACGCTTCCATTCGTCCTTCTCTCTCGAGCAAAGTCACGTTGGCTTTTGTTTAACGCCCGACGTCTACTGGATTTTCCCCCTCGGTCCCGCATATGCACATATGCATCTATCAAGGGAACAAGCGTCGTAATACGATGATACGATGCGAATGAAACTTTCATTTGTCTGGCAATTGATAAGCGGCGAAAAAGGTATTAGTCGTCGTTACCTTTTCGGTCACTTGCTGATATATGCCTCAACTCCAAAAACTTATCCTCCAATGACTGCGGCAATTGGAAAACTTCTATATCCCTCAACAATATTTTCTTAAAATTATTGTTTAACGACTGAACAGTACGATGCCTCATATACTACAAACATTAATTTATTCCATTTAATGAAAGGAGAGCCTTTCATTATGTTTACGGTTGTTTTATACTTACGCCTCTTGAATGCATGTCTTCCCAGACACAAAATCCTTTACCGCTGTGTATAACATCGTAATAATTCAAATACTGTATTATGAGCTTCATTTCTTGGCCGCAATAATTTCTCCTACACAAAGAAAATAAAAAGTTAAAACATAATCCGACCTTTGCCGCTACACCAAGTGTATGATGTTGCCAGCAGTTTGAGTTGAAAATTTATGAACATTTATATAAATTTAGCATTCGTCATTCGACTTTCTTTACAATATCAGTGCGGCAAGTCATGCGCGAGTAAGCCTGATTATACAAATTGATCTATCAATCATTTTTCAAACAAAAAATCATCCCTTACTTATAATTGTTATAATTTGTACATTAAATCATTGTCGAATCAGTCATAAATGTAAAGGCCGTCAAATTTTATGGTTAAAACTTTTTTTCGTCTTCTATTTTTCTATTTTATATACACTTACTGAAATAATGGATGAGCTCGATGCCCTAATGGAGCGAACTTGCAATCCTTGATCTTGCATTGTTGTTCACCAGGAACATCTTCTTTTAGATTGTTCCACCATAATTTCGACTCGCTATATAAAATCAATATATTTTTTATTAAATTATTTGCACTAATGTGGACATATAAATTTATATAGAAGGGTATTTTTTTTTTTTTTTTTTTTTACTTGCTAATCGGTACTAAAATTGAGGTTGTGCGAACTGGCTTTAAATTTTCAATTACGGCGCTCTCTGAATTTGAATCAGAATCGTCAGAAATCAAAATAATATCTTGTTCATGTGAAATGAATGATTCGCTTGTTTCATCAGATGCCATACTGTATTAAAAAATAAACAAATATCTGCAAAAGTACGTAAAAATTATTACAATATATAATTATGAAAATGCTATTAAAGGGCAAAAATTTTAATTAATGAGTCACATTAATGCAAGATTTATAAATAAAATTCTATAAATCATACTTTTTGCTCCTTTCTTTGCTTTTTTAAATAACATTTCTTAACGCTAAAATTAAAAGTAAAAAGAACGCGAATAAAAGGCATTGACCCTTTATGATTTTTACGTTAAAATTGCAAATTTTTTAACACCTGAAAAATTAATAAGCGAATGAAATTGTTATTTGATAAATAACTTTTTACTCCATTCTTTTTTAAAAATATACTTAGCTTTAATGTACTCAAATTTCATGCAATCAACTGAAACGAGATATTTCAAGTGGGGCAACTGACGGCTACTTTAAAACCACATAAACTCATTTTTCTCAATTTTTCCTCACTAATTGAAGCGCTACTCGGAGCAATATTAATAAAAAGATTTGCTTGTCCTGTATATAAAAATGTATCTACGCAGTCTTAACGATATAACGGAATGTTTAAATTTGGCAGTTTTAATATTTTCATTGGCTTTAATTAGTATGTGACTATGATACGATATATATATATATATATATCATAAAATTGAATTATTATTCTCCTATCTATGAAGCAAAATCATTTATATCAACGTTCTCAGAACCAAATAGAATAATGAGTGATCGAGTCATTATTATTTATTTAACGTTTGGCTTACGGTATTTTATACATAAATGTGCCAACTATTTTAATGCACATATACATGTATACGTAAATTTATATTATTCTTGCACAAACGTACAAAATGTACAATTAAAAGAATTCACTGACATATTTTATTAAGAGTATTTACATAAAATAATATGGTTGATCGGTTAGTGTTAGTGTAGAAAAATAATTACAATTCATTAGGGATGTTAATTGTCCTGTTTGTTTGCGTTTTTGTTTTTAATAGTAATCGATGAAGTTACTCGAATTACGTATTAATATTATTAATAATTAAGTTTTTTTTTTCTTTGTCTTAACTATACAAATATTTATTTATATGGACAACATTTTCCAATTTTATGATTTAACTAATATTTTTCTTTTATTACAAGCTCTCATTAAAATAAAATAAATTGGCTTAGACAATATTTTGACAGAGTATTATATCATATAAAATTATTAAACATTAAAATGACGTCCTTCTTCAGCATAAATCGTTGGAGTTTCAAGTTGTAGTTGAAAATTAAACGTAATATTGGTTGCCTTTGTCGAAAAATAATTGTTTTGATATTTGAAAATAATTATTAAGGCACTCATCAATACTAATAATAGCTAATAAAATACGTATATGAGATATTAAAAACATGGCTTGAAAATCGTGACTAGGAAAGTTTGATTTTGTTTTTGCACTGTTCTACAATTTGGCATATTTAACTTGTCTTGTCTTGTCGACACACTGGTCCATCACTTTTTTCTTTACCCTTTTTTCATTGTGCAACATTAAGGTAAACCGTATCTTTCTTTATTATTATTATTATTATTATTATTATTATTATTATTTTTAATTTTATTCTTTCGATGGAATGGTAGGCAAATCTAAAATTTAAATAAACACATTCATCGTACCTAACATCATTAGTCGGGATTAATATTGAAACGCACACTAAGCGAGCTCAGCCAAGTAGAGCATCGGCTTTGGTCGAGCGATTATCGCCGCTAAAATAACGCACCATCAAGTAACTTACCAGGACTCGACAATTGCCATTCCCAGCAAAATAAAGTCAATGTAAATAATTGTTGTACCGCGCGGAGCTCATTTATATATATATATATATATATATTATTATTATTATTATTATTATCTTCTCGACGGGTCGACAAATCTCGTTTAAAGGCACTTTTAATGTTAATTTACTAACGTAATATACGTCACGTACGTCGAAATAACATAGTACGTTAAACTCCGTAATACATGTCCTTACGATCGACTAATATTCAAATTGCGTACGAAGAACTCTTGCCGACGAGGGGAGATATAAATATACAAACACATATACAATTAAACAGCGATTTTACGACCGAAGCACGACTCTGGCCTCACTCACGAAATCGACGAAATATTACTAATCCGTTGAATATGGCCAAAGACCTCGATCGACCATACAAGATAAAACTTAACGCGCTACCTTCACGACCAAAAATACACGATATTAATTGTGGCGCGAGGCGATTAACCGCGCGAGGCTCGCGGCCGACACTAACTGCGCATTTATATATAAGTGATAAGTGCCGGCCGATGCGCGACCGACCCGACGACGTACAGGTTATAAAAAGGTTATACCACGAGCGGTCGTTGCAAGTCTCCCCGCGCGGCTACGGGGAAGAACTCGCCATCTGCCGGCGACGAGTAAGCCACGTTCCATCATCCTCAGCCCCGAAAACCCAGGGGTCGAACGATTAAAATGGGGGGGGGGGGAATTTCAGCCCGCCATCCTCACCGTGTTTCATTCACGACCACCCTTCTTCGGACCACAACGAGTAGTCACCATTTCTCACGGTACACTCGCATCCTCCTCGCGGCCTACGAACTTCTTCATCTACCCACGTCCCGTCTCGATCGCTCTTCTTCCACCATAACCATTACCAAAGCCCCTCTCTTTATAGCTAACTCAACGCGCTCTCGATTCTTAACCACGATATCCCCTGACAACTATCCGAGGCCGCTGGCCGAGCCAACAAGTGCCCGCCAACATCTTAAATCCCGGCTACTCCCTGATCCCGAGGTCTTAAGGCTCCCTCCCACTCCCCCTCCCGCACCTTCTCGTCGCATGCGCAGTCTCTCGGCGGCAGCTCATTGGCTCCCGATGACGTGCTGCGAAACGTGAATTCCCAGCCGTATGCAACAGCGTCAGAGAGTGGTGGTAATGGCGGTGGTAGTGGTAGTGGTAGTGGTAGTGGTAGTGGTAGTGGTGGCGATGGTGACGGCGGCGATGGTGTCAGCGATCGCGCAACGTGCCCGAAGGAGAGAATTCATTAAGCTCCAGCAGCGCGACATTGTAAGGCCTCTCCCGTTTCTCAGCCCGGGCTCGCTCAGCGGCCGATAAGGAGCGCCATTATTTAACTCGTGATCGGCATGATTGGCCGTGGATCGCCGCCGACGTTCACCACTCCCCTTCCCTTACCCCTTCCCCTTCCCCACCGACCGCGGTAGCCACGAGTCACCCAATCATCTCTTAATCTAGGAGGAAAGTCATCGGCTCGTAGGAGACGCGAATGGTGAGTAAAATGATTGGAGCTCGCGTTCGCCAATTTAGCTGAGACAAAGACTCGGTCAATGGTTCTCGGTGAATATCTGCTGCCCGTTTACCCCGACAAACATCGACAATGTGTTTAAGCTCGCGGGCAGCCCCCGGACCACGGCCATCCGTATTGCCCGCGCTGTATTCCCAATGACCAATCAGCTCAGGCCTGATTTGGGCATGCGGCAAAGGGTTGCCCTCCCTACTTTCTCGCCTCGCGCGTGTGTACTCGTCGTCGTCGCTTTCGGCTCGTGACACGTGCTAAGCCTTGGCGTCTCGATCGGCCCGCATCGTCCGATGCTGCTGCTGCTGCAGCATCGCCTTTTTTTACGCTACGGAAGAAGCCAGTTAAGAGACGTGATGTCATCTGTTTTCGTGCGGCTGACTCCGTATAATCGTTCCTTCTCTCATTGTTTGTTCTGTTGCAGGGGAATCGTGGGAGCCGCAGCTCGGCCGAGCCACAATGCGCAACGTCGCCTTAGCGAGAGCGATACGACATCGTTGGACGGGCTTTACGTAAATTGATTGAGGAGCGTGACCTGGGCCAAGAGCGTGGAGCGATCGAGTTTCGAGGGAATGTCAGCGAGTTCGAGTAATAATAAGTAAGCCATGCGGAGCGAACGATTGTGAATGACGATTGTGAGTGTGCGTTAAGCGGAATCCGATTGCCAAGTTAATGTGTTCTTTGACGTAGGCTCTGGCGGTCCACAACGGGACTGGACGATGCTGGGATGGATCTGCGAATGGCCCAGTTCAGTGCCCATACCAGTCGAGAGTTCGACTCAGCCTCGACTCAGGCAGGACTGGAAAGGCAGCTGCCCCTCGTCGTAGCTCTCTGTGCGATCGCTGGCGCCATTCTCTTTGCTTTCCTGGTAAATAGTCTGATATATAGTCTGGTAACTGGTCGTCGTTGTGACTAAATGTCAATGACGTTGCATTAGAATCGATAGGCCACTCTATGGCAGTTGATCCGTGCCAATTGCTCGATCTCGTTGCGACAGCACTCGATTATGGCTTCGGTCCTTTAGTTTCATTTTGCGTTACACGCATTGGCAGCGAGAAACTTGCTTGGCCTCTACTTATGCCCGACCGGCTGCAACTGCGCAGATATTCAAGATGAATTTGACCAATGCTTTGTGTAAAATCTAGATTCTGTTATGGCTGCGGCAGCAAATGTCGCGTGAGAAGGACGCGGAGGAGGGCGATAGGCGAGGCTTGGTGGAGGAAGGAACGGTCTGTTCACCAGAGGAGGCGAGCAAGTCTAAAAAATCAAAAGTTCTGACGGAAATCAAATGGGTGGCGGAGTCCGTGCCAGAAGTTTCAACGATGACATCAGCAACAGTTGTAACGACAGCCACGGTGGTAGCAGTCACCACGGAAAACGTCAATACCAAGGTAATCTTATTGTCTAGTCAATGAGAATTAAAATTAATTTATCTCAATTTTAGCTTTTTTATCGCTGCCTACGTTTCCACGTTCGCTTCATCTCTTATTAATTATTACAGAGCTAATTAATTAATAAGTTTCGGACTTTGAAATTTTAATTTGAATATTATGTTTGTATGCGCTTGGTTGAGGGCGCTGACAAGTTTTAACAATCTTGGCAGGCTCTTCTGTCATAATTTCACTTTTAAGGTAAACAAGGCAAATAAAATAGAAAAAACTATACGTTCAAATATTAAAGCCCTTATCGAAGCCATCAACCATAATCTCAAGTAGAAACTTGAGAGATCTTTTTCGAGAAACATTGGTACCTAATTATCCAAATGAGTAATTGTGCTCGATCATTGGTCTATTGCATTTCCCATTCCGTAGAGATAACCTTCACTTCCGTACCATTATTGCCACTATTATTTGGAGCGCGATATCGAGAAAAATAAACAATTATTAGTAACGATGATCAAAGTCATTAAAGTCAGAATAATATTCTTGAAATAGCAGGTGGAGAAGCCTAAGATACAGACGGAGACCCGCTGGATGCCGGAGCCAGTGCCACACACATCGACGACCTGCCTAGAGATTGGCAGGAACAGCCTTTCCTCGGAGCCAATGGTGACGACATCGACATCGACATCGATATTGACGTCAACGGCAACGGCAATGACGACAGCGACGGCGCCAGCGCCGGTGACAGCGGCAGCGACAGGGACAGCGGCGGCGACAGCGACAGCGACAGCGACAGCGACAGCGACAGCGACAGCGACAGCGACAGTGCCGTGCAGAGTGTCGCGGCCGTCGTCCCGCCGTGACGGCAACCGGCGCACTCGTTCCATGTACTCGGCCCACGGACCCGTGCTCGCCACCCCAGAGCGCAGGCCCGATAATGTGCGACGGGCGCCGAAGGGTCTCCTCGAGCGACGCGGCTCGAGCGCGAGCCTCACCATCGACCTCGCGCCCGCTGCGTCCGAGAGCCCACCCCACACGGTTACACCGACTCGCGAGTGTACCGCCGAAGAGTTTCTACTGAGCACCGGCAACGTACTAAGCAGGGCCCAACTGAGGAAGGCCGTCAACGAGCCAACCTCGCTCCACAAGGAGTTCTGGCAAGTGCCTCTCAATTACCCCAAGGAGCTCGACGTATGCGGATTCGGAATCAAGAATAGGTACAGCTCGGTCCTGCCCAATCCCAAGTCTAGGGTCGTCCTGCCGGGCAGCGACGATCCACTCACCACCTACATCAATGCCAATTACGTTAGGGTAAGCGTCATCTCTTAAAAAAACAATAAAAATAAAAGACTCTTAAATTAAGACATTTGTGACTGACGTTTCACAATTTGCACCGCCCTCGTCAATTAGTCGCGAATCGTCGTAAGATTACGGCAAAACTCTTTGGCTTTTAATGATTTGATATCGACTCGAGCAGGGCTACGACGACGACGTGCGTTACATCGCAACCCAGGGCCCACTGTCGCATACGATACAGGACTTTTGGAGCATGGCCTGGGCCGAGCGCACCCCCATCATCGTCATGATAACGAGGCTCCACGAGGCTTCCAAGACCAAGTGCGAGCCCTATTTCCCACTGGAGATAAACTCACGCTTACAAGCCGGCCCCTTCACCGTCATCCTCGGCTCTATGGACACTCGGGGTGGCTACACGGTGCGCGACCTCGAGGTCAGGCACGAGAACGAGAGGCGTGTCATACAGCACTACTGGTGAGTAGTCCGCGTGTCTCATACTAACGCGGACCTCTACTAACCAAGACATTCCCGTCTATGAACCGCGTAGGTATGACTCCTGGCCGGATCACGCGGTGCCCAAGACGGCCGATGCTCTAGTCGGCCTGGCAGCGGAGATCAACACGCTACCTGGGCCGATAATCGTGCACTGCAGCGCTGGAATCGGCAGGACGGGATGTTTTATCGCCCTGGCGTCGGGGATGACGCAGCTGAAACGCGAAGGGAACGTGGATATTTTAGGGATATTGTGCCAAATGAGGTAGGCGATGGTGACGTTGAGCTGTATTAGCGAGATTAATCGAGTCGTGCCCTAGAATTTTTGAGAATTCACGCGAGCCGGGGAGCTTGAGAGCAAATGTTTTTCAATCATAATAAAATTAACTATAATAAAAGTAAAATAATACCGATCGCTCGTGAATGGTAGTTAGTTTCGTTATATTGGATAACATTTTGGCTCAAATTTTCTCCATTAACGGTTAACGGACAGAATGCTCTGGACCGAATAATTTATGTAATGGAATGATTGTGTCATGTATCGCGCATCAAATCGCGTATATCGCGATCCTTACGATCAATCGGCGAATTAACTAAACAAATGAATAGAGTGGATAAATGACGATAAAGCTTACCTACCTCCATGAACTTCCACTCGTCCCGTCATCACATTATAATCCAACATTGATTTTATAATTATTCCTATGTGTTGATGATGTTAAATATTAATTTATAGGTACGACCGAGGTGGTATGGTACAAACGGCAGAACAATACGAATTTTTACACAGAGCTCTTTGTCTGTTCGAGGAAACGCTGGAGTGTAAGATATCGAAGGAGGATAAGCTGAGAGAAAAGCCAATATAAGGATTGCGATTTAGCAATTCGATCAGGTAAAATGTTAATTAGAACTGGGCAAAAATGAAAAATCGTCACAATTAAATCACGTCTTTTGGCAACTCGTTTAAGTACCTTGTCGATTGAGCTGCCATTGTAAATACTGCCATGACGTATCTTCGATGCCACAATTGCGACAGGCGCATACGTGAAAATCGTTTGACGAATGAGGACAAAATCTATATTAATTCACTTATTATCTCTTCGCAATGAATTGTTTTCGAAGGCCGATGATGATGATGATGAGGATGAGGAGGAGATGATACAATGATTGATGCTGCATATATACGAATTGTGACAATTATATTTATTTATCATCTCTGGTGGATAGCGAATTAATTTATTTTTAATATGAAAATCAACGATTGTTAGGCAACAACTTGAAGAAGGCATCCGCCAATGTTTGCGAATAATCGCCATATTGGTACGAGAGAGTGAGCGAGCGAGTGAGTGAGCGAGCGAATTAGATAGGGGCAATAATTATACCTAGAGAAAATATAAAATTATATACCTCCATAAGAAAGCATCTTTTTTTTTCTTCCGTGATTATTAAAATATCTATGTATAAGTAATAATTGAATTAACTACATGACTTCCTGGCAAATGCGTAAACATACGGCTGACATATTTTTGTATCCTTCGATTAAACGGACAAAAGTCGATTAGAGCATAATCTTTAGCATTAATAAAAAGAAAAATGTATAGAGCGGGAAATCGATTGAACTTTATCCACTTACAATTACGATATTGCCACGATATGTCGAGCAGCAGTGCCAGACAATTGACACGTGTACTCAAAACTCAATTATTGATGAGATTCATTCATGGATGCGCAAGAATTGTATTGTCCATTGACTTCGTCATCCCCTACCGCTGTAATTGGATAATTTCATCACTTTCGCTACGTCCGCGCGTATCAAAAGACACATACAACGGCTGTCGATCATCTCTGGACATACGCATATATCTCACTGATGTTGCGAAACGTTGAAACTGAAGATCGCTCGTTCGAGTATCTTCGTAGCCATCATTTGGCGAAGCATTATGAAATCCAAAGCTCAGCGATAAAAAAAAATCCAAATATTCCATTACGAATACGAGTGGCATCTCTCGCAATGATAAGTAAGATTTGTGTTTAGTACAAACAGGCATACCATCCAACGATGGTACGTACAATCATTTCATTTCACGTGAAATACGTGATAGGTGCTGATATCGATTCCGCTATCGTTGTTCCTGATGATTAACATTGCTCACCGTGTCCATAAGGCATCTCTCTCGGCAAATCTGATGCTTCATCGTGCATTCGGTGAATTATTCCGAGTTCATCGTCCGCGCAAACACGTCGGGAGTGAACTAGATACGACGATTGCGAATGTTCACCGTTCAACTTTGGCGGAATTTCGCTTCGCCAATTTGGTCTAAGAGATCATTCGACGACTGGCGCGGTATCTCAGGATCTCGGACGAGCGAACTTTGACCCAACATCACTGGATTAGCGCGATTCTTTGTCTTACATCGTGGTTCGACACACTGGCAGCATTGTTAACACGAGGATTAGAATCGGTGTTCACTCGCATGGGATGTGACATCGGTACGGGACTAGACGTACACGATCAACTACATTCATATCGATTTAACCCCATATTAAAATTGAAGTACGTGTTAAGCTTATAGTATTTCGTAAATGAAATTCGATATTATCGCTTGAATAGGCATTGTTAACGTTGTCAAACTTCTTCTTCTTACCCGATGTTCATCCAACAATATGTACGTAATATTAACAGAAACGAACGAACCGTAAAAGATACTTCGGTTATCTACGTTGTGCATCTAGGATGCTCCGTTGATATCTCCAGAACATACTTTGCATCCTGTATGTGCTTAGAGACAGTCTGAAATGAAAATTATTTCATTCGCGGAGTACTTGGAATTGTTTAACTTGATTTACTCTCGAGGTGACTAACATACACAATACTGAGGTATCAATAAATTAGCGATCCTAAGGGATACGCGCGATTGAAGAAATGTCACCACGAATCACCCGGCCTCTTCCATCACAGAGACAAAAATGCTTTGTATGTTCACATTCTCAGCGAAATGATGTGTAATCTCGAAATTGATTTCTCCAAGAAGAAGATTACTCATTATTAACGGCGATAAAGAGAGAGAGAGAGAGAGAGAGAGAGAGAGAGAAGAAGAGATAAAACTAAGCAATAATGAATAATTAATATTTAATTATACAGTCACTGTGAAGAAACAATGAAGACAAAATGCTCGTATAATAATCATACCAATTTCCTAGACTGTTCCTTAATCAGGATTGAATGATACGTTCTTAAACGATTTCATTCATGATGTATTTCCAATAAATTGAGCATCTATCTATCTATTCACATATACAACACCAAATGTATTTATATACACACTATAGTCTATAATAGCCGATCGAGCAAATAACGACAGTTTTCATTTGGAAATGCGAAAGGTATGTATAGAATACCTCCATCGATTGTACACTTCGTAATGATTATTTGTTAAAATAATCGAGTTAAATGATTCGACATAAACTTCAACCTTATCTCGAAATCTAGTGCTGTTTAATCTGAGAGAAGGTGGCTTCGAGTAGAATGATTAACTGACATAGCAATTAATAGATCAAAGCCCGAAACTGGGATGTTTTTATCGATTTTATCGAATCAAGTAAGGAAGTATTGTTAATTAGTCCCTGTCGCGATATAATCTTGACAGGCATCGATAACATTGGATTGGCAGGCCTGCTAGCTAGCCTTTTCTGCATTATCCCGTTCAGATTATCCGGAATTATTCGGAATTATCCGATTTATTAAATCCTACGTATTCATGGACATTCGTTGTTCTTCCTTACCATAAAACGTCAGTTGTTGCTGACCAGCCGAATGCACATTCTTCAATGAAACGAATAAAAAAATAATGTCGTTCGGATTATGATGGTATTTAAATTAATGACTCTCTTATCTTCCTCTTATCATAAACTGCTTATCTGGTATTCGTCACGGTCCGGTGAATGAGGCGTTGTTCCGACAAGATTGCATTTTCAACATCAAAGTCGTTGTTAGTTCGTTCGATAAATGTTTCGTCTTTGCATCGGGCACATTTTCTCGTTATTTAGAGCAGCAGAAAGAAAAACTTAATAAATAAATAAATAAATAAAATACAAAAGTAAATCTCAACGAATGAAATGGTAAACATTAATCAACATCTTCTTGAGATTTATATGAAAAATGAGCAATCCTGCATTATACGAGTGAGAATGGTGAGTGAATCCGCAATGATGAACAGGACACATTCATACAATTTTCAACATCCCTATGTGCCTAAAACAAAACAAACAAATTAAATAAGAAGAAAGAAAAGAAGAAAAAAAAGAAGAAAATCGTATTCTTTACGTATCACAATATAATCAAACGAATCTTTAATGAATCCCTGGATAAGATAGATCAATAACGCGAATCTCGTATCTCATAATGTTCCCTCCTATGTAATCTTAAATTGCTTTGTCCAATTATTTGTTGTTAGTGTATTGAGAACGGGAAAACGATTATATAAAGCGGAAAGTCTATTTTCAAAGGTCGTAAAATTTCTTACGAATGCGCCTATTTAATTCGCTCGGGACGCAAGTTTTCCTCTTTATCATTATCTTTTTATTTTTCAAATCCTTGCCTTTTGCTTATCGAATCTCGTATTTGCTCTCTCTCTCTCTCTCTCTCTCTCTCTCTCTCTTTCTCTCTGTCTCGTTCACTTGCATACATTGAATTTTTCCATAGAGTAATGTCCCTTTAATTGTACATCGGAGCTGATATAAGCGTTTTCTTTTTTAATCTTAATCTTAATCATAGTAAGAGAAAAGTGGACGGGTATATTGCATTTCGATAACTGTTTCTATAAATTTAACATCAAATTCTAATTCCATGTTGACACATTTACCTGTTTTTCTATATTCAAGTGCAATTTTGTTTTAAAACCATATGGATTTATTTTGCAGCTTAGATTTTTCCAGTAATCTTTATCTCGCAAATAAGAATATGCTTTTTACCTAGCTTACATTAATTGATTTTCCGCATGAAATAATGAAAGAAATAATATTCACTTTTAACTCTTAAATAAAGCTATATTTTTTCACGAGAATCGAGGCAATAAATATCAATTATTCTAGGTGATTATTCATAGTTTTGTCTAGTTCTATCAATATTGCAAATTAAAAGAAGCCCTATCTTGTTCATACTTCAAAATGTTTAAAATCTCATAAAAAACAGGAACAAAACAAAACAAAACAATTATGTCTTACATCAATATCAAAATGTGACAGATTTTCGTCGTTATTTTTTTTTTTTATTATTTTTTTTTTTTTTCATATCACTCCACGAGTAACAAACGAACGAAGAGATTGCGATGTGATTATGCGTACGAGTGTTTGTGCGTATCTGCTTGCGAGTGTGCGTGTATAAATCATATATTGGACAATGTACAGGAATGAGAGATAAATGCGCGTGCTTTGCGTATGTGTGTCTGCTTTGGATTTGTATTTGTATTTGTAGAAAAGTTGAACAAGCAAGCGAATGAATGAGCGATTGTTATTACGTTAATCCGTACGAGACAACACATGTGTATAAATACCCGACCCGAGAAGTTTACATTACACACCTACAACGTTTTCCCTCCTATTTCCCTTGTGACTTTTTTAAAAATTTTTTATTTTTCTTTACCTTTCTCCTGCTCCGCTCAGCTCCTCCTAAGTCATACATCCTCATATAGTAATAGTTTGTTTTTATTATCGTTGCGCTTAAAGAACCGAGAAGTGCAATTTTCCTTATTTTGTATAAAAAAAAATCAGATTTTTATAAGTCGTTGCTACATTGTCTCATATCTAAAGATAGAAATTTATCACTGCAGTCAATTGTTACAAAATAACATATATGTATGATTATAATTGATTTATTATTATTATTATTATTATTATTATTATTATTATTATTATTATTATTATTATTAATAATAATTACTTAGATATTTTTTCTCGCGAGATGTTATGACGTTTCGGAAGAGTTCATGAATTGTCGCAACGAGTGGATTTCGTATCTTCGGATTGAGTTGCTTGCACAACTTGTTTGCAAAAATTATCCCGATCAACCGAATAGTCCTCGCAGCTCTTCGCTTTGGGTTCGGCAAGATTAGGTGATTTGGCAAAAGTAATATACGGGAGGAAATTTTAGACGACTATATTAATTAGCGGCTATATAGATATTTTTATAAGGAGAGATCGTAGAGCTTTTTATTTATATAATGCGAAGGGCGCTGATAAAGCTTGTGTACAATTGTTATGCGAATCTCTTGTTAATTTTATTTAACGAATATGGAAATGAAGCGTTTAGTTAGTAGTCAATACGAGCTTGCCATTATACTAAATTATGCGATGAATTTTTAAAAACGTACGTAATTTATTTTAAAGTATTTATGACTAGTTCGCTGCATTACGTCATCGCTATGTTAAGACACAAATTGCGATTGCATGAATTTTTCTTTTTTATTCTATTTTTGTTAAGAAAAAAAAAACAAAAGAAAACATTTGCGAGGAGCGCACGGCGAACGCACCGAAAACATCGACCGGGTATCGATGTAAGGTTGTTGCGAGCCTTAGTTAATGCATAAAGAGGACGATACCAAAACGATTATATCGACTTCAGCAACAACAGTAATTTTAGCAACCCCTTGGTGTTCAATTGTATTCGAATGACGTAAATAAATGTTTATAGTGTCTATGAATAATTAAAATTGATACATATTATTACCATTATATATTATCCTCTCAAATTCATCGAACGAGTCTTTAGAATTTGTTAATTTGTAATATTTTTTTATTAATAATTAACATAGGTCGTTAGATTTGTTGAAAGATATAATAATTTCATGTGATTTTATCAACTAATTGATAATACTTCTTAGTAATTTAGTTATCGATGATGTATATTTCAACAATGCTTAAGGTTTCCAGAAGTTACTTAACTTGGCGACGTTTTAAATTTTGTATACTTAATCGTCAATTAAGTAAGTATTGAATATATTAAGTTCTTATTAATACTTTATAATCCAACATCGCTTATTATAATTGTTATTGTTATTGTTATTGATACTAACATCATTATTTAATAAAATATTTTACATTGTTTTATAATTTCATACTTATAAATATTCTTTGTGACTTGATATCATATTGTTATCAAATTATCAAATAATATATTTATTATTCATATTCGATATATTTTTAGTAACTATCATATTCTATATAAATATAAAACTTAGCATTGCGAAATATAATTTATTAATATCTGTTTGCCTCATCTTTTTACTTTATTTAATTCTGGCTTTAATAAATTCTTAATCTATAATATATATATAATCATCGTAAAATTAATATATTATTTCAAAAAATATATTGTTTTTTTTTTTTACTTTATCACTTTATTGTATAATTATGCCAATATTTATGGTAGAAGACTAAATAACTATTTACTAGACAAATACAAAAGAAGCTATTAGTCGCGATTCGGTTATTAACGAAAGAAAAAATTAATTTATTAAAATACAAAACATAACGATTATAATTATATCCACATATTTCATAAAGTTATTTAATGCTTGAGCAAAATGAAATATTTTCATTAAAAAGTTGTCGGATAAGAAATAACTTCAAAAAGAAAAACGATTTGCATCTCAGAAGGCTTCATATCAATAAATTATAAAATTAAAAAATCATACTCGATAATGTTAGAAGCTTTCCAATCACATAACTGTAAAAAATTTAATGTTTACAATGCAAATTTCAATTCCTCAAGGTTCTCCCTCTATCAAGAATTTCATAGATGAGTACCAATTGCAATAATCCAATTCAGAGTCAAATTCAACACTGTTTCAGTCATTTTCATGTATTGGCAGAATCGGAATTATAAATAAATGCTTTAAATAATCTATTGCAATCTTCTGTTTAATCGAATTATCGTTTGAAACATTATTTTAAATGAAATTATAGATTATATAAAGTGAAATAAAAATAAACGGCAACAACAAATCTAGTGTTTATTCGCAATACCAAGTTCAGATGTTGCAGAAAAAAAGATCTACGAAAAAAAAATCAATTTTATTATTCATATATATACATTGATGATTGATATAAATAGAAAATGTCATCTATTCTTTACGCATATAATTTGCTTTCATTTAGATGAATTTATAGTTATAATAGAGACAATAAATATATCAAAAATATATTTCTACGTAGAGTTTCTCAAAGTATATATACAATTATATATTTTTAGGAAAAAGTATAAATAGAAGTTTTTCAGTTAGAAAAATAAACGTATTCTATTGTCATTTCTTCGGCTCTTTCCATTTTCTTCATAAAACAATAAATAATGAAGAATAGTATTACATAATTCGCACGTTAAAAAAATTCTTAATTTACCATTCTCTTGCGGATATCAACAATTTAAAAGACAAGGGAATACTTTTTTGTAAATCAAAGTTGTTGAAAGCAACGATATCCAATATTCTCTAATGGTAAAAAAAAAATAACATATTTCAACAGAGAACTAAACATTTGGTTTATGCCTCCTTAACATTTTTCAAAATTTTATCTAATGTAAAACTGTTGATAAAAAGAAGTTGAAAAAAACAATCTTATTGAATATAAAAATTTTCAAAATATTCGCGCTATATGCTGAAATTCACGTGCAGTAAAATTGAAAAAATAAGTTACAATGGGGTGATTTTTGTCATATATCGATAGAATATATTTAAAAAATAATAAACAAATTATGTTTTCAAATTCATAAATCAATAATATATTTGACGCTTTTTGTTTTGCAACTAATATACAAGAATTATTTGTTTATTACTCTTCAGTCGAATATAAATAGAACGTATAGGTAAGTTCTCTTGTATCTAACACATTTAAAGATTACAGAATTTGAAAAGTAAATAAAAATTTATGAAAATAAAAGTATTATAAAACATAAATGAATTATATTACAATGTTTAATTAAGTGTGAAATTAAAAAAAAAATCATGTCTTACATTTCAGCAATATAATTTCTTACTTAATATTTATACAATATGATAAGATTTAAATACAAAATTGAATTTCACATTTATTCTTGAACCACTTGATATTCTCAATATCTAATCTAAGCGGCAGATCGTAAAAAATCTGTTTTAAAAGAATAATAACTATTGTAAATTATAATTTGGTTTTATTTCTAAAAACTATCAACTTTGTATGTTTATACTAAATACATATCATCAGTATATAACTCAATATAAATTTGATTAATAAAATTAATCTGTCAATATTCTTCTCTATTTTAAATTTTATTGAAAGAAATATATTTGCCTAATTAAATTCGTATATCGTTTTGTGTGTGTGTGTGTGTGTGTGTGGTAATACACACACACTTCCCTCTCTCTCTCTCTCTCTCTCTCTCTCGCCCGCGCACACACACTGATGCATACACAAAAGTACTTGTAATGAATTTGTCTCGATTTTAAACTTCATATTTGACGAAAATGTTTGGCTAGTTTAATCTTGCGATTGGTCATCGTTTCATCAAGGCAAATGTGAAATTTCTCATTTTGAATTTATTATATATATATATATATATATATTATATCATGATATCTAGTTTTGATTATTATAAAAATGCATTAATTATATTATTATATTCCCAATAATATAATATAACATCTAAGAATTATATATACATAATTAACTCGTTAATTGATGAATTTTTATTCATTTTTTATTTTATTTAGTATTTTATTTGTTCTCTGACTAAATTCTCACTAAATTTCTCATCTAAACTTAAATTACTGGCGTCACTATGCATTTCTCATGGCTAGTTTGTGTAGTAATGAAGCATCGACAATATTTATCTTCGATGTTTAAAAATGCATCTTACATTCATAAAAATTGTAATCTACATGCACTACAAAGTAACGAATATCTAGCGTAATCAATTTAATGCTTTGTTTAATAATATTTTGTCACTGTTTCTATAATTATGATCATTTATACGGAAAGATCGATATTTCACTTTTGTATGGAGTATTGACTTAAATGAAATAAATCAAAAAAAAAAAAAAAAAAACAGTTTAGATTTTATGAATTTTATAATTTTATTATTTACTAAAAATATCGCCTTATCGATTATAAAATATGGATGGATTATACGCGTTACATACTTCGCTTAACGCGAGTGTCCATCTAAAAATTACCATTATAATATGAATTCAACACGATTAAAGGAAATGTACGTTCGTCCATCCCTAAAATGGTTGGTCCTCGATTCATTACTTTTTATCGAATATCTTATATAATATTGATATTATATAATTATAATATTGATTCAGATATTAGATAGATTTTTAGATTAATTGAATGTGAGAAGAAGCTTGTGCATTTTGATTATTGGAAAGTAAGATTTTTTAAGGTCCACTTATTTTTTCATTGATAATTTTACTGTCGAGCTGATTTCAAAAGAGAATTATAAGCAAACGTTGAGATAATCTTCCTCTTGGATCCACTAGTGTACTGTTTTGAGATTATAAAATTGATATGAATAAGCTGCGCGTAATTAACACGCGCATGAATTAAATTCGAGCTATAGATCACATTTATTCTTCTCGTGCAACGCACTCCATGGCGTAGTTGTGGAAAGTGGTGATCCAGCGATGACAAGGCAAGAAGAGTTCAAAGTACCCAAACTGGAAGAAGGAAATTTAAACTTAACTTTTTTTTTTTAACAAACAATAGTTAAGTTGAATTATTCAATGATCTATTACAAGGCGAATAAACATTTTGAATTAATAATCAGCGCTGATTAATTTACAATTTTTTTTTATTTTTTTTTTTTTTTTTTTTTTCGAACTTTATCATTAAATTTTCTTCGTGTGTACGACAATTCATCGACAATACAAAACGATCGACTTGACGATGAGAGTTAAGAAAATTATTACTAATTAGTCGATATTTATCATATAATTCGGCATTCTTTACGTTTATCCGTAACGTTTTATTTTTTAAATTATATGCAATCGGTGTTATTAAGCCTCGTTTATCCGCGCTAATAATAAATAAATAAAAAAAAAATAAAAAAAAGTATCTGGTAGCTCACCTATGCGATTCGTCACTGCTATCCTCGTTGGCACTACTCGTACCGGGATCCTCGAGCAGTAAATTCGAGCTAAAATTTTTCAAATCGATGTCCAGATAGAGTTGCCTCAGCTGGTCATTTACCAAATTCGACTGCTTCGACTGACTGAGAAACTCCAAGTCGGTTTTCAGGACATCGTGAAGAGGCTTAGTTTTCATTTGGTATTGATTGATGAGTTCCGAGGTTAATGGAATACCCTCGATCCACGGCGGCTCCTTGCGTGTCATTCCAGAAGTTTTGAAAGTCTGATTATCGCTGCTTTCATTGCTCTTTTGCCGCTACATTTGGTGATTAAAAAGGCGCTGTGTTAAGGTCGTTGTACTTTTAACAAAATTAAATCTTTAGATAAGTGATAGGTGTAGATAAGGAGAATATTTGAAATTGTATAAAAATCAATGGATAATTGCATGCCGAGAGAATGAAAATGTAAAATACCTCGAAGGACGATAGTCCATGCCAATGTTCAGTATTGCTGCTGCTATCGTAGCTTTTATTAAGCGAATTGCTGAAGGAACTGGAATCGTTGACTTTATCGTACCTTATATAATTATCCTTCGTATCGATCGTCGTACTTTCATCTATAATACCAAAAGACTCACCCCCGTTGCTTAAAGAGGACGAGACAATTTCAGAAGGTGAAAATATCTATATTTTTAGAGAAATCACAAAACAAAGCATATGACATAACGTTCATATCCGCTTCAGGCAATGTTATTTATTAAGTTCTTCTCATCGCACAATCTAATATTATCTCAATTTAATATTTGCAATCATATATAATAATATTTTATTATAATCTTTTTCGAACTTCTCGCTAAAGCGACAATCGAACGTTATAATATGCAAGCGGATAATACTTTTGTTCTGCGACGATAAGCAATCATAGGAGTAAAAAATACCTTCTTGGAAGACTCGGAGATGGTTATGATGCTACCGGGCTCGGCCTTGATGCTCGTCTCCCGACTCACCGGCTGCTTAGGATCAAACGAATTATCTACGGTCGCTGTTGCCGTCGATGTAGTTGTCATTGTCGTTAGATGGGCAGTCGTGGGACACGTATCACTTAACGGCGTTGCTGTTGTTTCAGGCACGATGAATGGAAACGGCCTACACATCATGGTTGGGGGCGTGTGAGCACCAACGATCGGCGGATATATGACGCTCGGCATCGTATACGTCACTGGGAAGAAATCTGCAACAATGTCACGTGCTTGGAATAAAATTTCAATAAGAACGAGGACATTTTGCCATGATTTTTATCGGATGAAGGACTGTTGGCTTGACTGTTAGTTTGCGATGGTTTTCGATATTACCAATGTGCGAGTAGACAATTTATAATATAGATTGACTTGGTAGACAAACGATAGCGAAAGCAAGCGATAATCACGATATGCGCATATTGATAAAACTGGTAATGTAAATATTACGATAAGCACTGGAGAATAAGTATGTTACGTACAATAAGGAATAAACTGGTTGATGGGACTTGGCGGTCCAGGATGCTCTTGTGGAATGATACTCGAAGATGGAATATCTCTTATCTGTGGTAGAGGCAAATAATATACGGGAAACCATTGAGGTAGTGTGGGAAATCGGCTTACACCTTGGCAATATGCACTGAAACATGAAAACAGTAGCGTGAGATTATACGGCAATTCCAATGGAGTTTTTGTATTATCGAGTTTTTCAATATTATTCAAATGATCAAGCGATTAAGCAAACAATCAACAGGTTACATCGCAATATATCACATATTATGAATGTTCGTATAAGAAAAGATAAATAACATCAAAATCCACCGAAACAAATAAAATACATTTTTATCTTAAAAGTTGATTTTGTCGCTATTACAAAATCAATTTTCATTGCTTATATCCATGCTTATATTAAAGCATTTATTATTATTACTTTATTTTCTTATTTATTTATTTATTTATTTATTTATTTATTTTTTTTATTTATTTTTTTTAATTATTTCTTATTTACTTCTTTATTTATTATGCTTGTGCGTATAATAATCATCCGAATGCACATTGATGTTTCTAAAATTTCTAAAATAGTTTAATACAGGATATATCATATGTAGAGAGTTACAAATGAACGATTTGTGCGTGTGATTATGTAATGTCATGATATGCGTAAAAATTACTTTGTCGTAGTGAAGCGCTGCTGTGCAATCGTCGTGGTGGACGGCATTATTACAGAATTAGGAGTCCACGCATTGGTTTTTGGACAGTTCTGTGTCGTTATTGGTGACGTATCGATTGTCGTTACATTAGGCTTCGTATTCAGAGATTCCAGCACCGTCCCAACACTTTGTAACTCTTTCACCGAATTATCATACTTCAAAACCTATGTGAAATGAAATTGTTAATTTTATTAAAAATAAAAAAAATAATTACAAAGACTCTGACATTTAATGTGTCTATGGCTAATGGAATGGCTAATTCGTAATAAAGAAATAATGGGAATAAATTCTTTCAATAACTTCCAACTCAAAGCACGCGAATTATAAATTATCTCATTACTGAAGAAGGTAAAATCCCACTTTCCCTAGAAAATCTTTAAACTATCGATGTTCGTTATACAATCATTATTTTTACAAATGCCTGAGAGCCGTTGCTCACCTTAATATTATTATCCGTTTCTCCGATTGGACCTCCACTTCTTTTCAGTCTGCTTCTGTTTTTATTACTCGCTCCGCACCTCAGGGTCGGCTGCTCAGCCTTGGCCTTGTGATCGTTGAGCGACGTGGAGTTGTTCCGCTTGTCGCCCTTCTTCTGCTCGCAATGCTTCTGCAGCATTAGCTTCTCCATATCTTCGTTATGCTTGTAAAGTAACGACTCCGTTAAAATGAGGAGCTTATCGTTGCTGGTTGCGTTGGATGTCTCGCCCCGGCTGCCAAAGCTCTGTTGATTCGTTGACTCACTGCTGAGATTTTCCGCACTGCCGCTATTGCCGCTTTCGTTTGTCGAAAAACTGCATTTCAACTCTTTAAAGATATTCCCTTATGTAATCATTGACCATTGCATGGTGTATTATTGCATGAATTATTATGGAATGGATCACGTTATGGGACATGATCTTTTTCGAATTTGTTAACCATTGTTAGTGGTATTAAAAGGAAAAAAAAACAAAAACAAAAACAAAAAAAAAACAAAAATAAATAACAAAAAACACTGAAAGAATAAATAAACAAGAGGCATTTCCGTCGTTGTCGAAATGACGATGGGATATAGAAATAAATTCTATGAATCGGATTGAATGTATTGTCTTATATGTTAAATGGTTACCTGGTCCGGATGAATTATTCTTGCCCAACGCATCGCTACTATTCTCACTGGAATGGAGGATATCCTCATCGCTAGCGTATGGTCTATTGTTCACACTTACGCCTATGCTTCTATTAAAGAATCTCTCGATGTTGTCTTGATAATTAAGCTGATTGTAGCTAGGGGGTGTTTCTGTTGAAGATTTACTGTCCAAGTATTCGTGATGGGGTGAGATCTCGCCTAACATCACACTGTCGTGTCCCTGTAATAGGAGATCGGATGATTATTTTTTTAATGTATTATGGCAGAATCGATACGTAGTCACGTTTAAATTATAGGAACTTTGTTTTTCAATTTTAATAACATTTTCTCTCTTGGCAAGATTACTTTGCAGCATAGCATTATATTGCAATTGAAGAGAGGTCGGAATAGATTGAAAGATAGGAAACACAAAGAGCACGAAGGAAATAATTTACATAGGTTTTGGGAATGTTAACCAACGGGATAGTATTAATTTAATGTTCAAGATATATTATCCCGAGTATAGATGCTTCGAGTGTGGTTCGAATTTTTAATTGTAAGTAATTGGCAAAATGCTAATTTACAAAGTGGTATAATTTATTCTTTTACCGAAGTTAAATGCGAATTTTTGGTCTCTTCTGGATATTGGTGAGAAACTAACAGATTATAGAGATAAAACGTCTGTATTATTATTATTATTTTAAGTTACAAGAATAAATATAGACCATAAAGAATAATTTGTCAATCTATATAAATCGCTAATATATATATATATATATATATATATATATATATATTAAAAGCATTATGAAGATCAATTAATTTAATTAATTGAAAATAGTTAAAAAAAAATTTGTTTTTTTTTTTTCGTTACTTGATCTCTGTGACACTTCTATGTTAAAGTTATTTATAACAAAAAATATGAATAAGAGATTGTCATTGGTAATACGCGAGAGTAATGTGATTAATCCAGCTGTAAATAAAATTATATAAGATGTACGATAATGATAATAATTAATAGCAGGGATATGTTGTATAATACAAACGAACCTCCATTAAATCTATTACAAAATTTTTAAACTTTAATACGTATACTTTTGTAACCAAGAGAATAAAAATATCTTATTAATTGTGATTAAATGGCTTTATTTATAATCTCCATTTAATTATTTATCCGCTCGGATTCCTCATACATCTCAATCATAACTTAATTAACCAAATATCTAATAATACTCAATTCATTTTCACACCTGAACATCAGCAAAATTCAACAGTATTTAAAGAACATTTTATCAAAAAATCAAAATTATATAAAATATAGATGAGATATGTGGTATAATGTAGCTGCATTTGATGTATAGTCACCGAAAAGCTCCTGTCGTGTAACGCCATTTGATCCTTGATGGTAGCTGGACTTTTAATTTCCTGCAGTATATACTGCGCGAAGGATTTGAGTTCTTTCTTTTTGGATAGTAACTCGAAATCGGTAGCTTTGGATGGCAGCTTCCTTTGAACATCCTGGAGAAACACGCCGAAGAAAACGCAAAATTGCCCGTTGTACATAACCAATTTCAGGAATTAGGGTAGCTAGTAACATTTATTGTGAATTTCATAATCGAGGTTTGCCCGATCTAAAATTTATTACACTACAAAAGTGAAGTTATCAGTAATATGTAGCGGGGAGATTCGTTAATTAGTGGTTAAGCGATGTCCTGGAAAATGAAATCTTCAACCAGTAAGTAATTGAATTAATCTACAGTTTTATGATTCTTAAAGCAATTTTTCGCATGCTAATTGAAGGTGTCGGCGTTAAATTTATTTTTACAATTAAATGTTTAGTTAACAAAGTAGGATGAAGCAAGCAGGGCGTTTCAAGGATGATTATACATAAACGGTGACCAAAAAAAAAAAAAAATAAAAAATAAAAAATAAATAAATAAATAAATAAATAAAACTTCGTTATTTAAGTACTGTGTTTTAAGACACATTTATCACAGACAAAATATGCCAATAATGTGAATTGCCAAGTAATTTAGCAGTATTTGAATAAATTTAACGGATATTGTCCACCATTTTGTAATAATTAATTTTAAAATCATATGAATTTGCCTTTTCAAGTATGAAAAAAAAAAAAAAAAGAAAAGAAAAAAAAAATAATAATAATAATATTTGTAAGATAAAAAAAATTGATATACATATGTATGCGTTTGTGTATTCGTTATATATAATGTACATGTAAGATTTTAAAATAAATTTCGATGAAACATTTTCCTTGCTTTCTCCTTTTCTATGCTTGATAAATTGGATCGATAGCGTCGTATTATTTGCAATATTAAAAGGTTACTTAAACTAAGCTGATAGGACCAATTACCTCAACGAGGAGCGACACAATCTCTTTCTGTATGATTTGCGCCTCTTTCATCACTTCATCGCTAATATTCGCCAGCAAGTCGTTCCTCCTATTACCAGGTGGATGAAAGATGTCGGGATCGACGGGTCCCTCTCGTACTTTATGCTGACCTACGACAAATTCTACACTTTTCGTCCAGGGATTGATGAACGATGACCATTCGGTCTCGAGAACAACGAAGCTGCCATTCTGGATCATGAATCTGTAAGGCTTCGATTTGAAGGTTTTGCTCTCCAGGTTGATAACCTGCGTGGGCATATTTTAGAGAAGAGCAGATGATTATTATGATAATGCGAGACGTCCTCTCGATCTTTAGCAGAAGAACAACTGTGCCATTACTCGCTCGTTAATATTTACCAATCATTGAATTATATTAATCGATTGAACGTGTAATACCTCATTGATATTAATTATGATTATATGAAAGATATTGGTTTTCACGTTATTTCCAATCCTACATTATATTTACATGTATTTTGAATGCTTAACCGTATAATCGTAAAATAAATAGAATATGCCGACTAACCTCACTTCTTTCTTTATCCATAAATGGCAGAAAAAGATATTTAAAATTTCAAATATTAATATGAATGTTCAAATTCGTCAAATTTAATTATAATAATGATAGGCTCTATCGTCGCGCATCTATCTACCATTCGGGATCGAATGTCATTCAAATCGTGGTATACTGATGCCGAGATATTTAAAAAGTCCGATTAGGCCATTACGCATTGTTATTTTAAATAAAAGCTGATCGAGGTTTTATACTTAAGGAATGAAGAAAAAATTAATAATCAAGGGAATTTATTGCACAGCACATTTGGTAACACTTTATACTCGTTACGTGCTGCTCAATCTCAAAAACCAAAGCTTATGTAAAAACGAAAAACAAAGTCTAAATTATGAGCAGAATTGATAATATCTTTTCACAACTCTTTTGACTGCAGCGAATGGAAATTTTTAATTAAGCACGTATATTATTGTATTTTTCCCAATTATCCCATTATATTCTAATGCCAAAATTCATTGCTTAGAAGCCCGGTAAAGTCAGCGTGAAATCTCCTAGAATGCAAAGATAAAGAGAAGCACAGTCGCAACTGAATCACACTCGACCAGATAAGGTCTCATGCTCACAATCTTGTAGATTTCTTTGATGAGTGGAAGATCCTCGGGATAGTAGAAGTCAAAAAGCGAACGATCAATCATATCCTGTGGCAGGTAACCCAAGTACTGTACGACTTCGGGATCGACGTAGGATAGTCGACAAGTCGCTGTGTGGCGCGTCGTAAATACCGTAGGTATTATCGTTTCTTGTGGCACTACAGATAATAGCATAAGAATAACATAAATCAATTATAAATCATGTCTGAAATTTCGTTAATACGCATTATTCATCAATCAACATTTTCTTTATGGTCGCAATATTCCTCGTTATTAATCGCATAATATTACTACTATTTTCATATGCCATACGTTATGCCAACATATCTGTAAGCAGTAAGAGAGATGCTTTCATTAAATGTGTCGATAATGGGAATCGAGGATTTTTCAAGGATGCTCGGGTGATCAGGTCGAAACAAAATTCTGGTACTTGTACCTATATTTACATGCTGCACCGATCGAAAAATAGAAAAATGTTTAATGGCTTTTCAGCAATAGGTCGTTGGCTTTCAAATAAAATAGTGTCGAAGGGTTGTTAATCAACATGACAGATTGGACATTCATTTTAATCATTCTTATCTAATATACAAAAATTATTTATCAATTCACCACTGATGAGAATATATGAGATTTTTGTAATAAGATACTCGTTAATGGAATATTAATGTCTCTATATTTCTAAACATACTTGATAATCATGTCGATTCAAATTTAAATTTATATTCAATGCTAACATACGAAGCTGATGTCGAATTAAAAGGATTATTTATTCAATAAAATGTTATAATACATTTCTTGGCATTGCTCTACTATTCGAATAGACAAATTCGAAATCCCATTGCATTGTATCAAAACTACTTCGAAGGAATTATTGACACCAGAATAATGGAAATTATTCATTTATTATGAGCTATGTAAAGTTAGACGAACAACAGGTAATCTACGAGGCAAACAATATATTCAATATTCTAATATAAATTTTAAAATACAATATATTAAATCCACGTTCATTGGAACATTTAATGAAACCTTACTATACCTTTGTAAGCCGATTGTACTGATTGAAAGGACGCGACGAGCAACATCACGTGGCTCTGTGATACTGTCATCTTGTCATCATGAAAGTTTTGAACTACCAAATTGATACGATACGGTACGTACTGATCGTTTGTCGAGACGCAAATGTTGAACCTACGGAGACGACAGAAGATGCTCGCTTTCCGACCATTGGCACCTGAAAATGACGAATAACCAATAAGTACATTGAAGATTTGGCATTTGGATTTTACATTCTCAAGTACGAGATTAGAATATTGCACGTTTACTTTTTAAACTTTTAATCCCCGTTAAAACAATAAACGAATTACCGCAAAATCCGTTACCTACATACATATATATATATATATATATATATATATATATATATATACATTGACTTAATCATTGTAATAAAGCGATAATTAATAATTGAATCGATATAAAATATTTATCCTAATATTTGTGAATTTCAATAGTGGCAAGTTAATGTGATTTGTTTATTATATACCTGATGGATGAAAGTCTCGGGAGATAGCGATTTCACTCGCAATTCGATCAGTAAAAATATACTTGTCCCTGGGGTTAAGAAAGTCGATAAACAATTTTCCAGTCCACCAATCTATAGGATACCCTAGAGATGTGTACAATGAAGCTGATGCATGGAGCACAAGACCATCGTCCATGGATATGACTGCATAAAATTCATCCTGTACAACAGTATAAACCAGTTTCACCTATTAAATTACAATTGTGAAGAAATCACTTTTTATAGTGAAAATAAAAAAAAACTTGAGAGTTGACAGAAAAATTTTCATCGTTATTAATAAAAAAGGCTACTGTTTCTGCATTGAAAATACACGAGAAAGTATAACAGGATTCGTTTAAAAACTATTTGTAATGTCATTCAATGTGCTCAAATTATTAATAGACGAAAGATCTCATCTTGTTTTAATGCATCATATGCTTAATTCTTACGTTTGAAATATGTGACAGGCAAAAAAAAAAAAAAAAAAAGCTGAAGGGATTACATATTTATTAAAATTAAAAATGACTTAACGCCCATAGATTTTGTAATTCACCAGCACCTTAACATGGAAAATATTTTCCTTTGTAAAATTTGAATTTACTTTATGAATCGATAATTTATCCTACCCTTTAGACAATACTGTAATGATAAGAATTTAAAAAAGAAATTTTTACGTAAATTATTCTGCCGTTGTAAATAATAATTTCTTAATTTCGCGTTCGAAAGATGTTGAGAAAAATAATAAATTTTTTTCCGTCAAATTGCGATTTAACGAAACGATTTATCATGATCTTTTAGAAAGCATATTATTGTCCATCTCGTATCTGTTAAATTATAATATTAATTAAGGTATTTTATTACCAGGAATTTCTATGCTTCATCTTGTATTCAGACAGGATAGCTTTGATTCGTCTAATTCAGTTTTAAAATAGTTTATCATTTCTTGTTCATTATTTAAAAAATATCTTCCAGTATAACAAAAAATTAAAAATTTCATATAATTAATTATTGTAGTTGGTATAAATAATTGTTAAAAAATGTGTTAAATTTGTTCATTAGATTTCTCTTAAAGATATTGTCAGCGCACTGTTCAAAAGAGAATATTATTTTTTTTTTATCAAGTGTAGCACTTTCTTAAAGCTTGATACATGATTACGTAAAGGAAAGCTTATAAATTTTACTTTGTGATATATATATATATATATATAATATTGTGTAATAAAGAAAATATATAATGCAAGTTAACAAACTTAAAAAATATATTGTAATTTTGAAACTTTATGTTAAGAGACGCGTACAATCTAAAATTCACATTCCCATTCCTTAAAACGTACAAAGATATTTCCTTTCGAATACTAGAGGTTCTATATTGTTTTACAGAGCTTTCGAAATTCACTCACATCAGCTAATCAATGATACTTTACAATAACTTTTCAAGCTTATGAAAAATTACCCAAGCTGAGTGGAAGATTTTATGTTTAAACTTAAGCAAAATTTACTGTTAATGTTGTGATTTGTATTGTCCGATAGCAAAAACAAAAACCTATTTCTAGAAAGAAGCAATAATTAAGAATGTTGACTTACCCAAACAATCGATATCGATTCACACGCAATAATAAGCACTGAAACAAGTGTTGGCTCGTAAAAAAAAAAAAAAAAAAAAAAAAAAAAAAAAAAAAAAAAAAAGTCGGACAGACTCATTGCAATGACCATACAATTGTGCTTCACGAATCAACATTTCAAAATCAAACAATTGCGAGCTCATCTCTCCAAATGAGATTACACGTGCTTATCCTGCTATACATTCTTCAAATTTTATAATGATATTACGCATAATAATGCGTTTAAATTAATTATTCCTTCTGTCACGTAGAATACTAACAGTGGAGTGCGAGGTGATGTCGTCGATGGGTCTAATTTTCGAAGTGAGTCCTGCACCTTCCGCACTGGTTATTAAATTATTGTTGTGAACTCCAGAGTCCGTTGCATCCACCAACTCTACAACGGTCGCTTCTTCTTCTATTGGCCAGCAAAGGATAAAAATATTTTGTGATTTATTGGAAGAAGTGTATGGCATTATAGATTTAATCTTTATTAATGTTATTGTTCATTATATTGATTATTTTGCCTTTCTAGCTTTAGCTATATTTAGTTATATTTTCTTTTCATCTCTCCTGATACTTCATTTGCTCTGAGTTTTGGCTCTATATTATTTTTCGAATAAATAACTGTTAATTGAAGATTTAGTGTGAGATATTTTAGACATACGATTAAGCGATGAATTGCGAAGTTATATTAAACAGAATTATTCAACGACATATTATTTTAATCGAGAATGCATACTATTATCAAAAAATAGTCGATGGACATTTTATCTTCAAATAAAACGAAAGACTTTTTATTACGGAAGAAAAAAAATAAAACACCTTGGCCGTATTACGCAATTTCTATAGCCCTTAATATAAAATTACTCTCTATCGTTATATTTTTAATACCGTGCAGGTTTTTTTTAACAGTTTTCCAATTAAAAAATAAAGACTCGATTATTGCGCGATGCCACAATGACTCAATAATATTGTTAAAACGTAATATCGGAACATTAAATAGTGACAAGATTGCAAATTGAACAAGAGACATCCTAAAAGAGCATACTAAATATAACAATTTAATTGCTGTCTTTAATGTTTTATTCAGTTTATTAATCATACGTTACGTAGAATAAACGCAACATAAAAAATTATATAAATACTTACGTAATTATTCTCTAATAATGATACAAAATAAGGTAAACCCCTCCTCCTCCTCCTCCTCCTCCCTCTCCCCTTTCTAGATTGATGCAATATTTTTAAATATAATTTTTATTATTTTTTTTCCCCAAACCATTCAACTTTTATAATCTTCAAATAAATCACTATTACGTGGTGTAATTTAGCTATACTTAAATCAATATATCTTTAGCATCAAATTCGTAACATGCAATACGTAATATAGTACTAATAAAATAGGGGATTATAATTGTATTGAAAAGTGATTTATGTCGAGCCACTACAAGAGCCGCAATTTATTAATTTGCGTAAATAATTACAATACTTTCTTTTCGCTTTTAGTCACAAAATTTGTTGCGCGTCCATATTGTTTGATTGAAACATCATGCATTCATCTTAAATAGAATGAAACATTGAGAAATCGAGAAATATGTAGAAATAATTATTTATATAAATAATAAGATTATTGCTGGAAAAAAATTTTTAAATCACTCATAGTCGCAAGTTTTTTTATTTGCCTTTAAGAATAATTGGGGCAATCATGACATTTGACTCGATAAGAAGTAAGGATAGATTAAATACTCGAAATATATAAATAAAATAAAATGTGATTTATGAAGGAGCTTAACGATATTTCTTTCTCTTGCCGTTCCTAAAATCCATTTCTTAGATACTTTGCAAGTAATAGATAAGATAAAGTTAAGTAAAACGTATCCATTACGTTTAGCATTATTGTTTTACCCGAAAAATATACGTATTTATCCGAATATAATATTTTTCACTTTACAACTAGTACTAGAAATTCTCAAATTCATTTATATAATATATGCATATATAAATGTACCTTTACTATTCTATATAAATAATTATATAAAACATATTCTATATAAAACATAAAAATTTGCAACTTTCAACTTATTGTGTATAAAGATCATCATAAATAATTGCTTGCAAAGTTCGATGTAGATCCAACATTATAAATTCTGCGGACATCGAATATTGCCAACAGATTGATTGCATTTTTATCTAAGCTCGGTTATGGGGGGGATGGGTAAGGGGGAGGGGGAATGGGGGAGGAGGAGGGATAAGGGGGAGGGGGATTGGAGGTGGGTGTAAAGTAGAAATTAATCTGAGACGAACCAATTGATCGGTCGAGGAGTGTTTTGCAAGGTTCAGGAGACAGCGTATCGTGGTTCAAGGCAGGCGTGATGGAAAAACTCGTCGGGGCACCTTTGAATTTCTTCTTCTTGTAACCCTTGTCTTTCCGCTTGGTAATTGGCTTGGGTAGCGTCTCCGAACTGAAAGCACAAGTGTCACATGAATTTTGTCAAGTCGCCACCTGACTCGTCTATCTATTCAATTTCAATCGCTTTCTAATGAGCGGATTGAATGGCCGTGAGAGAAGAAAGTAACACCATGCGTGCGGTGGTGGGTTTTGGCGGGTGGAGGGTGGGGGAGTTGAATCGAATACGTTATATGACAACAATAATTAAAAATCCATATAATTGGTAAGATAAGATTCTATTAAATTTGAATTATTCACGTTTAATTATATACACATAAGCTGCTTTCTTCCAATATTGTATAAATGTCAAATATGAGCGACGAAAAGGTTGAAATAATTAATACGTCAACATTTGTCCTTCTCTTAAGACACTATTGTATTCAATCGCGCATAACACTCGATCGTATTTAGGTCCAAGCTTGGCCTTTATTACCAACGGAAATTAACTTAAGTTTAATTATTAATAATTGCAGTGGTGTGTAATACCATAGTTATTAATTCTAATGTTAAATAATTCCAATAGTAAATAATTCTAATATTATTATCAAATTATAATTTATGCCAATATTTTTAATAATTATTATAATACTGAACATTAATAATAAATATTTAGTTTGATGTTTAAATATTTAATTTTATAAAGTATCGAAGAATGTCGATGTTACTAATCAGATTATAATATATGCTTTAAAATTAAAAAATTCGAACGAGTGCTAGCTAGCTCCAAATAATAATCCAAATGAATATCATTCATTGCTGCATCAAACGTATTAATTTAATTGTTAAATGTATGCATTATAATTTTGGCGATTAAAATTTTCATTTAAAATCTTAACGATCAATTATAAAATCTCAGTATATAGTTTCGATTACGCGTTAAGTATGTTATTATACATTAAGTATATAATATCATTATTACATTAATATTATACCAGTGGAAAGATCATTAGATTAAAACTGAAACTCACTTCATCAAATAAATGTGATTTTGTTTTTTGATAAAATTTTTAATAATATTTAAAACGAGACAATTCATGCAATTATAAATAAAGACGGTGTCACGTGGCCCAATGAGAAAACGCAACGAGTGCCAGAAATGGTAAGCCACGCGTGTTTGTTTAATATTTTATCATAATAACTCATTCCTTATAAATAATAAAACAAAATGGAAGTATCAAATAATACGAGATCAAAGGCATACATCAAAGGCTAACATTATTCTTCTAACGTAACAGAAATAAATTGCCATTTATTCATAAAAAAAAAAAAATAATAACAATAATAATAATAATAATAATTCGCGGATTCAATTTTCCGCTACAGGCATTTTCAAACTAAATCCCACGTCTTCTTAAATATCATTAGATTTTATTATGATATTAAGAAATAAGAATAATATACAGAAATAATTGAGATATTGAGATTGAGAAAATGTATTTAAAAAACTAATTTCATAAATAATGCGCATTCTAATGGAAAAATTAAGAAAAATCAATTGTAGCCATGAACTTGTGGAAAATTACCTTTGTGAAATATTGATTAAATGTTTATCACATGCCGATTTATTAAAATACAATTGAATGAATAGAAGGGAATATTAGAATATTACTAAATAAGTATAATGACTACACGAAGAAAAAATTATTGTATATTGACGCATAATACGTCAAAATTTTATGAATTTTTTGAAGAAAAAAAAAGGTTTTTTTAATATCATAATGAAATTAATCATTCTTAAATCCATTCTTACAATAGACTTTGAATGTAGTTTCATAAAAGTATGTTCGTTAAATATTGTTAACATTTATGAAATATTAACATTTTTCTCTATTTATGGAAAAAAAACTTCAATCGTTCAATACTTTAAAATTTACAATAATTAATTTTTTCAACAATTTTTTCATCGTAGAAGATTTTTCATTAACGTATTTAGGATAATTCAATTTATTATTTTCAAATTTAACATATATATTTAAGATATATATTAAAAATATAAAAGATTTTTATATTTCTTTCATTTGTTTGATAAATTGATATATAATTTTTTTGTGTCTCAAATAAAGCATTTCCATTATTCCTATAAAAAAATTTTTTATCAAAAAATATAATTTATTATATATTAAATAAAATTATTTCGTTCGATCGTTTTATTATTAAAAATAATGTATTTACTCTAATTTGATTATCTGAGAAATTTACTTTAGAATTTTATAAGAATTAGTACTGAGACAGCACTGAATAAGTGAAAGAATACTAATAAGCATTTTATCGAAATAGAAAATGACTTTTTTCCACTCTTTTCCTAATATTGTTATCGTAAAAACGCTAGGTTTACCTACAAAGCAGTCACCTGTTTTATCAACTGTCAACAAATTTTTTTTCAATAATACAGTCATCGTAGATTCATTCCATTGGTGCATTCAATTTGCTATTTTTAGCCCAATCTATTCTTCCCCGTGGAGCGGAAGAATTTAATAAGGAAGCAACGTGCTAGTTCCACGTGCGTCACGTCTAATTTTTTTGTAAAACAGCATATGACAATTTTCTTCCCTTACACTACGTTATGCAATTGGAGCAAATGGAAAATAAACTGCAGAGCGAACGAGTCTCATTCGATTTTATAAATAATATAGTTATCCAGCTTATAGTCATCCTGGATAGTTATCCATCACGTATTCATCCACGTGCACGAGGCGCTAATACATCGTGTGCGTGACTCCTTGCAAGCAAACGGACAGGATGCACCTGTTCGATCAACATTTGTCACTGATATCGACAATTTAATCGCAAACATTCCCAAGCACACAATTTTACATATAAATTATTTAAACTATAAGTATTAATAATCGTTAGGAGCTCTTGAAACAGAAGTGAAGCCTCGGCAGTTATAATTATAGTAAATTTATTTTCATCCCACACAGATGGGAGCATGAAGAATGAACAATTCGTTCGATAGGTGTATATTGTTGAAATTAGTGCATTTTATTGTGGCATTTAATATTTACAGCATCGAGCGAATCGCTTGCAATTGCGGGTTAATATTGTTAGACAAAGTAAGCGGACAGGTGACTTTTTGCCCTTTCAAATGTGCGTATGCGTAAGCATGTATGAGCGGATTAATCAATGAATATAGTATGCAAGTTATCTTCCTTAAAATTACATTTTATCTTTTATGTTTCTTATGATTGTGAAATAGCGCTACGGCAAGTTTGTTCTTTTTTTTTTCTTCACACACTCTACATCCATTTCATATAAATGGTATCATAAATTTAATAAAGTAAAACATCGTTAGATACACATGTCTATACAAGAAAGGGCTTATCGATAAATACTTGGCTAGATAAAATTTACCTCCGTTCCTTTAATAATCGTTACAAGGTCTTGATTCGTAAATTTCTTATGTTTCTTATAGGAATAATAAAAGCAGTTGAGAGTTCATTATACATTATACATTATACAACGTTATGTATAAGTTGTTTATAAATTATTTAATCCTTTCCAATACAAACAGAAATTTCCTCACTTATTCTTGAGACGTTACGTGATTAACCAACGATTACGTAGCACATTGTACTTTAATATTTCAATTTATTTATCAATTACAGACATACTAGACGATATATTGAATTGCTAATTACTCCATTAAAATGATAAAAATGTATGTAGCAAAAGTACCATAGCCATCCGTAAATTCAATTAGAGTGTTTTGATATTTTTTGAGGAAAAAGTCTAAATCTAAAATAATTCAAATTAAATTATATATTAAATAATTATAAGGTGAATCCTTCTTAAAGTACGTGTGCCCTGAATTACAGTACAATGCCAACTTACAAGCTAGAGGCTTAGTCTATCTCATGTGAAAATATATTCTAATCAATATTATAATTTATTCTACAATAAAATATTTATTATCATTTTTAGAGTTAAAGAGAAAAACATTTGGAAAGAAAAACATTGACGTTGTGCATCATAAGCTCAAGCGTACAAAGTAACGCGTCGAAATAACTTAACCAATATAAATAAAAAAACTGATATAGAAGATGTTAAATGCATTTATCGAGGAGACATCCTGAAGCATAAAAATTACTACGCTTGTCATAATTTACTTTAGCAAATATTTGACGAATTTTCATGAATGTAAAGTTCACAATAATAATACTTGTCTTGTAGATAACGAATCGATTGTCTTTCCTCGTTTAAAGCCCATTAATTTTAAGCCCACGTGAAATGGTCGCATCTTTGTCCGTTGTCGCAATCGTCATTTCTTTAAAGCTTTCTTTCATGGCTTTCGAGATCACAGATGCATAGCATTTAAAATTCTAACCCAATTTCCAATTATATTTACCAACATCTATCGTATTTAGATAGTAATTATACGATGAGAATTATTTATGTTTTAATATGTATTTCAAAATAAAAATATATTTTTAAAAATACAAATATATTAATGACAGTAAATAACTTTTGATTGGATGAAGGGGGAAAAGGTAAAGCTTTTGAAAAATGCTTATTATAGAATATTTTCAGACAATAGATGAATAAAAACAACATTGCTTTTTTTTTTTTTTTTTTTTTTTTTAACAAAAAAAAAAAAAAATGTTTTTTTTTTTTTTTTTTTTTTTTTTAACGAATACGAAAATAATTGATAAAATATAGGTTGCGATATAATTGATATGAAATAACCATAAGAATTAAATTAGACCCATAATAATGATAAAATATCTTATTTAACGTAATGGTTTAAATTTATCATTACTGAAATCACATTTCGTATATATACACACAGTTATGTATATAATAAATAAATCCGTAAATATTAAGATAAATTACATTTTATTATTTAAACTTTCGGTAGAAAGAGCGAAATGAGCCCGAAATGTAAAAATAAAAGCTTAAATTGGAAATCATTTCCAATTATTCTCAATTAAACACAACTATATTTATTTTTCAATCCGGTTAAAATACTTTACATAACAGATATTTTTATTTATTTTTATCACTTTGATATTTTTCAAGATTTATTTTTAATATTAATGATGTTTATTTACAATTTCTAAATTTAAAATAAAATTAATATAAAATATCTATGCATTCGCTTAAATTACTACATTTTGTGAAATACAGAAATTTAATGTAGAATATATTGTTGAGCATTTCAAAATAACAATAAAACAAGTTAACAATATAAATAAGATGCATACTTTTAAAACTAAAAGATTGCAAGGAAAATTTACAAAATAATGCCTTTCTTATGAGAATTTCTAATTTAAAAAAAATTATATAATATTAATAACAAAAATATAAAAAATCTCATGCCATTTTTATAAATTAATCGTTTTTTTTTTTTTATTTTTACAATATTACGCATCAATTATCAGCGATAGTAAAAAATATGAATAATCTAACGCTGAATATGTAAAATACATGGGAATTAGATATTTCTTAAATTGAAAAATGTCGTTGGCAAACCATTGTTAAAATATCATTCAAAGCTATTCTCATATATCAAATATATATCATATATGGGAAAAAAAAATTAATCAAACAAAATTTAATTCCATTGTCTCCATCAACCTAATGATTCATATAATCAATACGAATGCAATTGCTGCGATTATAGTATTTATACTATCGTACCCGTAGTTAATTACCCTGTTTTTGATTATATAAAGTAAAGTATCTAAAGGGCTGTATTAGTTACGAACTGAAGTACATTTGACTTCATACAATGGCGATTATTTTTAAAAATAAAACTTTATGCAATGTTGTTGATAGTGGTAAGAAACGCATAACCTTCATTAGAAACCGCAAAATCGCAATAATAGATATTTTTTAACAACTATACGTATTAAAAATCTTCTCACAATAATTTATCTAAAAATCAATATAATAAATCGATTATATTTACTTATGATTAGTATTTTAATTAATGATATAAAATAAGACTATGTTACCGAAATATGAAATTTTGATTATCATGTAAAGCAAACGTATCTTTATCAAAAGCTACAAATTATGTAATAAACTTATATGGAATTACATGTAACGAATACATTGCATGTAATGTATTTAGTTAATTCACAACTAATCTGTTAATAATTGATATATCATGTATTATTATTTGTTTGGCAAAACTTGCATCTAGACATATTTTAATAATATACAACATTGATATTTCTTTTATACTCTCTGTATTTAGACATGCTGATTCTTATTGCTAATATACATTATAAATAATCCGTTGGTATTAAATGTGAAATTCTTATGGACAATAATTATATAGTGATTATCAAATAAGTACATGATTACATTGAATATATAATGATACTTGTAATTTCTATTCAGGCCAATAACTTGTGAAACGACGAACAATCTATTCATCTTGATTGTGCGTTTTCAAATTACGAGTTTTACAAATAAACAATATTTAAAGTGCAAATTGAATTGAACGATTGATCAAGATACGATTTCGAAAATTCGAACTCAACAACGTCGTACATAAAAATGTTTTATTGTTATTGGCACAGCCTTCGTATACACGGAAAGAAAACATTTCTGTTAAATAATCGTAGAATTACCGTCTATTACTGAACTACTTTGATATTTCCGAATTTTGCAAGATCGATTGCTTATATAAGTATTCTATTTAAGCTCTTCGATATATTTCAAAATTCTTCTAATTGAAAAACTCCTTTTAAGACAATGTAATTATCGATAAATAGATTACAGCTCGTAATTTACAACATCAAACAATTCCTAATGCATTTTAAATAAATATATTCAATAAGCGTACAATTAAACAATTATTTTGAAAATGAAAATTTAAACGTTAGAATATAAAAATTTTGGTTAATTTGAGATGTATCTTTACAGATCTTGGTATACACAAATTAATTAATCTTCTTTCAACGTCGCACTGTATAGAAATATAATTTGTAATGGAATAAAAACAATTTTCGTTACTTTTACTATAATAGAATGGAAAAATTACTTTTAAAAAGAATTAAGATAAAAATCTAAATAATTTGCATGCGAGAAGCGTATATAAATAAATTTAAACACCAAACTCTTGTTTATTGATTATCGCAGACTTAAAATTGAGCTTCGTTTCAAAATATAATTATACGCCTATATTGTTGGTAAAAAACAAAAGAGCTATCTTAGACTCGAGGATCTATTTGTACAAATAATTTATCATCGTTGTACCTCTCAATTAATTGCTATTCTTAAAAGGCCATAATGATATCGTTAAATCAAGGGCCAATGATAAATAATGCATTATTAACCGGTAAGAACATGACAATTATTCAAATTAGGTACTGAAAAAAAGGATTATTCGATTGCAATCCAGAATTGTTGCAATAAAAAATTAAATCCTGTTTTAAATTAAATTTTAATAATTCACGGCATTTGTAAATGAAATAAATTATTTGCTAAATTCAAATAAGACTAGACTATCTTTTAATTATATATCAGAATTGTAAATGATATTTCAAAAATCCTTAATTAAGTAATAAATAGTTACGATAAAAGTGTACGACAAGCATTTTATTGTCCGTTGTATAATATCTGTGAAAAATGTTATCAAATTTATCTGGATGAAGATTTTTTACAATTAAGCTCTGCTAATGATTGAATGTTTTATATCGAATTGGTCCAATCCATTATATTCAGTGGTAAGAAAGTAAAAGGCACATTAGTTTTCAATCCCAATTTATTCCTATTATTTACCATAATACGATTCACCATTATTATTTAATCTAAGAAGTATGATGATAGCACGGTTTTACTACGCTTTTTAAATCTCATGTGGGACAATGCAATGGATGGGGGGGGGGGGACAATAAAAGGATAAAATTTGTGGGGAAACATCCGTATAGATAAGCGAACACTCTCACCTAGTATGGGATTGGCTGTTGCTGCCGGTATTGGAGTACCCGGAGTCGGATATCTTTGCATTTTCTGTGGAAGTCTCCTCCATGTTTGATCAGGCTTCCTCGTCGGGGATGTTACACGGCGCAAGTGAACGGAGGCTCTTCGCGCCCTCGGACTACTCGTCACGACGCGCATGTGCCAACCGCGACTTTGTCACGCGCACCGCCGCGCGATAGCACCGAATCACGGTCCCTCTACTTCCCCTACATTATTTTCCGCTTTTCATCTGTCAATCAAACAATCCTGCCGAGATTATTTACACCGAGATGGCAAGTTTTGTCTTTGAGAGCCGAAACTTGTACATCGTAACTCGACTCAGACGTTCTTCGATCCTTTGCGTCGTTCGCTTTTCATTTTCTTTATTCTCCTTAGAATTAATTTTATAATTAGTGGTTTTCATATTGCAAATACAAGCCATATTATCATAAAAAATGTATATTACAAGAGCATATTACAATATAATTTGCATATTACAGTATATTACAACATGCAAACAGCATTTAAAAAATGAGAAATTAGGCTTTTATAAGTTAAATTCGACATTTATGTTTAATCGTTACTTTATTATAGATATCTCCATAAATATTATATATATGAATTGAAAATGAAAAGTAATTTAACATGAGATAGTTATATACTATCAAAAATTTAGAAGTACTTTTTTTATATTTCACGAACAGTTTGATAAAATTACATATCTACATTAGAAACAATTGATACTATTTCAAAATGATAAATGCCGATTTCTTCAACCCACATTACTTCAAATTTTTCTTTTCAAGCATTTTTCCATTATCCGAAATAAGTTTATTATTATCATTAACTATATACATATACGGATTTAGAACAGAATAGAGAGCGAGAGAGAAATTAGACTATTATAGATCTCATGTACATAATTTTATGCATATTCTAATGAAATACGAAATTTTAAAATGCTTGTAAATAAATTTGTAAATTTTAAACCGTAACACAGCCATTATTTTCGGAGCTTTCTTCTTTTTACTAGTCAATTTGTTCGTGGCCGAACTTTCGATTCCTTTATATCGAAGTATATGAGAAAATAAATTGGTTGGCCGCTGCTTTTTCCTAAAATATAATTCAAAATTTGATATATTGTTTAAATTATAAATACAGGTGTTATTTATAATTATAATTGCATATTTCTAATCACATAATTTACACGCGTTCGTATTTAAAAGCAAAAAATTAGCAAGCACTTATCAATAAACCATGCTTATATTTAAACAATTAATAACGTGTCTATACTTAATTTGCAAATTTAACTACCCTTAACTCTATAAAATTAGTAATAAATTTTTGCCTTATAATGTGACGCTTACATTGTCAACTTGCACACTTACCTAAATTCCACGAAAAAATTCGTGCGCGCGGTAAATGTATATCTAAACTTACATAGGTAAGAATTTAAAACTAATTCAAAATAAATGCTTAATCGATAGAGTTATCGAGCTATCATTCTAGCCAATTTGTGATTAGAGCCATAAATTAATTGAATTAAAAATGCCACAGTCCGCGGAGTAAGAACCTTGGACCAAGACTGTCCAAATAGATCAATCCAAGGCTCTTCACAAGCGTATCCATCCCTTCCCCCATGATCTCACAAATTTCCTTGGCATCGGTGTCGCGTCCATCCTCATGAAGAGACTGAAAAATCATAGTGATAGAACAGTGAGGAGGAGGGAAGATCGAGTAGCCGGGACTAAAGTACATACGTGAATGAAAAAACATACATTAGTACAAAAAAAAGTGTTATATATATATATATATATATATTTCCTCATTAAATAGAATCTAGATTCTTCATTAAGGAAATCATAATGGAAACTATTGCATTATAATTTTAAACGGAAAAGTACTCTTTAATAATATATTTAATATGTTAAAAAAAAAAAAAACTAAAATACAATATTAATATATAAATACAAATGAAATGGTAATTAGTAAAATATTTTTTATACAAACATAATATTTAAAAATACTGGATTTACAATGTTCACGTACCGTTTTCGATGCGACAAAAATAACGAACATTTTCATTACGATTATTTATATTACTTTCTCGTTATCTCATCATTGATTTCTATTAATGAGATCTGTTATATCTTTTTCATTACCATAATTATAACTCTTACATCATTAAAGTGTGTTACTAATTTGCACTAGATTTATTATTATATATAATCAAATTTAACGAATAAAAGTAACATATTTTATATTTTACTGCTATAGTGGTAAACAAAAAAAAAAAAAAAAACAAACAAACAAACAAACAAAGAACAAACAAACAAAAAAAAAAGAAAAGAAAAATTTCCTATATAATATTTGCCTCACCTAAATAGTTCTAAAAAAATTGTAATTACATATTTGGACTAAATTTTAAACATATTTCCATGAAACATTGCCTATCTGAACATTGATTAGAACATTGACAATAATATCTATTATATTTGTAGTATAAATATAGGAATGAAAAGCAATGTATTAAAATTGTACAATATAGAAGGAATTATTTTCCAAATAAATTATATAATTTCATTGAATGATGAAGTTAAATGCAACACAATAGTTTAATGCTATTTATTAATTAAAAAATTGTTTTATTTTCTCATACATTCAAACGCAATTCCAGCTCTTCTAAAATCATACATTTGAAACTGTAACATTAATAATAACTAAAAGAAAGAAGAAAAAAACGGTATAAATATTTTGTATAATCGATAATGTTTCAAATTGTTGTATAGAAATTTGTAGAGAAAAAGTTTTATTTAATAATACTATATTTATATAATCATTGTACGAACGTTATACTAACCTTATATTAACATTATATGATTTTTATATTAACATTTAAACATTTGAAAATTAGCTAAATAAGACGATTAGTGTAGTTTTAAATTTTCTTAATCAAGCTATCAGAATTCTTTTTGAGTAAATGAAATATTACTGAAAACGAGCTGCTGTGTATTTAAATAAGTTTTCACTCTTATTTGATTAATTTTTTTATTTATTCAATACGAGAAACGTTACATTAAAGTTAACAAAAAAGAGCTATTTTATGTATTTATTTTATGCCTACGAATTTTTACGTATTAATAATTTCTATTGATATTTTGTTAAATTGTAATTCTTAATTCAGCGATTAAATTTCAAGAAGTAAAAATACTTATAAGTTTTCATCTCATAATGGATATTTTACGATGAAAGGTAAGTTATTTTGTTTAGAATTATTATAAGATAATCCAAAATAATAAAAGAAAAATCATAGATAAGAAAATTTCTAACAAAATTACTATAAATGTCAATAGTATAAATATTATACAATAATAATGTATAAAGAACAATTGTAATTATTAAATATTTCACATAATATATTATAATAAATTAATTAGATACAAAAATTAAAGCTATCAAATTATAGATAAAAAATTTAAATAATAAAGCATTTTTATAAAATAATTTTAAAATTTAACTGATATGTCTGATGGATTCATATATCAAAAATTATTATTAAAAATAAACTTAACATAACAAAACAGACGTTTTCCTAGATTGTAGAAAAGTACTAGTTTTACTTTTTTTTTTTTTTTTTTTTTTTTTTTTTTTTTAAATGCTTTACTATAATTAAGCTTTAATATGACTACTATATTTTACTTAAATAAACTATAAATAATAATCAATATACTCATTGTATTCCGCTTTACTTTAAATTCATTAATTATTAGTTACAAGCTTTTTTTTTTTATATATATATATATTTTGCGTTTTATAATAATATTACAATAGTCAACTAAATTAACATGTACAATATTATAGAATTCCATGCTCAAATTATGATTATCCTAAAGGTATGATCACTTTAAGAATCCTACAAACCATTCATAGTTTATCTCATTATCGACGGAATAAAATATATTATCTATCGACGGCGTCGTGGCAAATATTGCAAATTGCTTACATAATAATAACGCCATGAGATACGAAATATGGTTTGCACTTCATTGGGCATCGGACACACCCCTCGATTCCCATGTTCGGCTGCAATTATCATAAGTCTAGATTACAGTATCCACGTGCTTGTGTCCACTGCCTATGCACGCGAAGACGACGGACGCGCGATGGAATATTGCAACCCGGGAGCACGTGGGATGCGCAATTGCGTACAATTGCCGCGAAAGTATAAATAAGGGACGGACGGCTATTTTGGATAAATTATTTGTAAATCTTTCTCCAATGAATAATAAACTCTGGGGCGTTGTTCATGACTATTATAAAATTCATGTACGATAATTAAAAAAGAATTTACATGTATTTATTAACGTAAAAGAAAAATGTTGGAATGCACAGTATTGTGTGAAAATACTTATTTATTTTTAATATTTTTTTTAATATTAGTTTAGATATTAGAGTTTTTAATATTACAAAGATTTGTTTCCAGTGCAAGAAAAATAATGTATATTTATTTTGAATTGTTTATTCAGTAATTTTAACATTTTAATCATTATCAACGATTAAGCAATTGATCCGATTTTACTTTACAGCTAATATATATTGTATGACTTTTATACTTTTCACGTTATATTATAATAATTAATCTCCTATAAGATAGCTTCAATATAATTTATAAAAGTTAAATTCGCTCGTTTATTGGAATTTATATTTAGTACTAAAAGCAACATTACTTTTAATGATAATTTTATGTTCCGAGCAAACCCCTTAGAACTCGTAAATCTAAGAATAGAAATTTATCTTTGAGACTAAAATATCAAACGTTCTTAAAGCTATACTTTGAAATTAAAATTTAAATAAAAATTTTAAAGAAATTTCATGAGAATTTTATAAACTTTTAGAAAAGCCGAAAATTTATTATATTCTAAAATTTCAACTTTAATAATATCTTGGTTTATACTAAACCTATTTATTTAAATATAAAAGTTTTAATTAAGGCTTAACATTAAGTTACAAATGTAACATTGAACAAGCACGATTTTAATTAGTATTTAAGAATTTTTTTAACTTAATTTTCTTTATAAGACATTCATAATATATATATATATATATATATATTTATTTATTTATGTTGTAAGCTTGGTAACGTTAAAATTAATAAAACATAAATAAACAAATGCATTAGTGTTTGTAGAAAAAATAAAAGGGCTAATAATGTTAAACTTAGTAGGTATGTAATGAAAGTGACAAATTCCATTCATTTTAAAGATATCGTAATATATTTATCAAAATATATTTTCATCATACATTGGATCTTGACAGCATAAAAGTAATAATCTTCCTTGTTCTTATGAATAATAAATTTTCTTTTTTTTTTTTTTTTTATATTTTATTTTATTTATATTTTTCAAATTTTTTACACTCAATTCTTGTTTGTATTATCATTGCTTATATTATAAAATATATTTTGTCAATTTGAAGAACTGTGAGTATAATTCAATTTATACATAATAAACAGTGAATTTCGTTCAAGTTTAAAGAAATAATGAGTGCTCTAAAAGACTTACAGGCGCTGCTCGTTGGACAATTCCTTAAATTGAAAAATATTTTTCATTCTATATGTATTAAAAATACCGTTAATTATGAAAATTAATAAGAAATTTATTCCCAAATTTGTGTTCCTCTTTATCAGTCTCGACAACATTTGTCTTAATGGTATAATATTTTCACTAAATTAACGCAATTCAAATTTTATATTCTGAATCCTGTAAAATTTTTATTTCATCTTCTATTTACAAACACATTTCATAACAAATAAAATTAATTTTCATTTTAATCAAAATTTTTAACATTAAAATCAAATAGTAATAATCAATTAATAAAACAAATTAGTTTTATTGTTAAAAAAAAAAAATTCAATTAGCTTATGAAAGTTGTAATACCATGAGCCGCTTGATATTAAAAAAAAAAAATAAAAAAAAAACGAAAAAAAAAAAATATATAAATAAAAAATAAAATAAATATCTTTATTTGTACAATATTATAAATATGTACTTTGTACAAAGATCTTTTCATCGATCCCCTTGCAATATGCTTCAATAAAAATATATAAATCTAATATCACAGTTGTCAGGTACTCTCGATTGGCGGACAATCCAAGCCTTGTTTCTGAAAATGAAAAAAATTTAATTAAACCGAGTGGAGATTGGAAATACGTAGAGGATCATGGGAGTCTCGTCGTTGTATGAGAAATATAAAATGATGTAAAATGATATAAAAAAGAAACCCTTGAGTAAATGCTTGTATACAGTTTGTATTTGATTCTGTATCTGTTGCGTATATCATTTCTAGAATAGATTTTGTGTTAAATCTATCGTTTATCTGTATGAAAAATTATATAGCGCACGCGCTTGTTTTTTTTAACTTTTTCTCTCGTTTTCTGTCTCTGTCTGCTCTCTTTAGTTCTCTCTCTCTCTCTCTCTCTCTCTCTCTATCAAACACACGCACAGGCTCTCTTTCTCAAACATGCATGCGTACACGTACCTTCTCTCTCTCTCTCTCTCTCTCTCTTTCTATTTTTATTTTATTTGATTATTATCGTAAATTTAAAGACAATAGTGTATAGTTTATTTTTTCATTTGGATTTTCTTACAATTCGCATATATTGTACTCATTTATGCCGTCGCTCGTTTTACAGGTTTACACAGTAGATATTGCGATAAGTCTCAATAATTTTTGACAAAGAACAAATAATATAAAATATTTGTAAAGTCGGCATTCATATATATATATATATATATATATACATACACATACATATATGTATATGTATATATACATATATACAGCCACTATTAACTCCCTGCATAAATAAGTACCCGTAGACGGACCGGCAATTATCCCATTAGAATCACTTAATTTTTAAAAAATATCCTCCATTTTGCAAAACTCTGCAAGCGCATAGCTATTTCTAATAATTAATGCCATGTAAAAACAGCGATACGTTCATCAAAATAACTCTTTTACCAATGAAAAATCAACTACAAAATAAATAAGTAAAAAATACATATTGGACATTTAAAAGATACGCAAATTTAATATTATCCCGAGTCCAATATTATTTTTTACTTTAAAATTTTAAACTTTAAATTCCTTATGTAAAAGTTGATACAGGGTAACTGTACTAATTACTGTAGGAATATCGATATAACTTCACATGATCGATTACAACTCAATACATTTAGATTAAGTTTGTTCTATCTCTTAATATTACTGTATACTTTTTTTTAATCAAAAAGTATCATAATTAAAATAGTGATAATTTTCTCCACAATCATTAAAATGCAAGACTTCGTCTTTTAATTTTTTTATTACTGCCAAGTGTAAGAATAAAAATGATTTTGACTTTTTACCGAAACTTTTAAGAAATAATCACTTTCATGCTTTATTTATCCATAATTAGGTGAACACAAACACTTAATAATAAATACCATGCTTAATTATTTCACACACACGCACACGCACACGCACACACATATATATATATATATATATATACATGCATGTGTATATATATGTGTATATATATATATATATATATATATATATATATACATGAAAGTATACATAAATATAACTATGCTTTTGTCGTAGCATGTAAATGTACGCATTTTGGACAGTATGTATTTGTATAAAGTATACTTGTACGTACTAACGAACTGAATGTAAAGCTTGAAAACTTGTCTATACTTCAGTTAATTTTAATCATCCTTTATTGGAAATTATTTATTCGTACGAGTTTTAATAATATTTGTATAATTTACAATATTTTAATTTTATTCAAAAATAATATAATTGTATATATAATTGTATATATATATATATATACATATAATAACTCTGTTCGTTCTTATATTTCTAATTAAAAAAATACTAGTTTTAGGCATGCCGTTAAAATAAATCTGCAACATGCTTGTAATAATGATGTATAATAAATTGAAACTATAATTTGATCCTTGACGTAAATAACAACTTTAATACTTAAAGATATTTTTAAAGTAATTTTTGTTAAAGAAAGCAACTTGTTCCAAATAGTAAACTTTGCAGTATCAGTAATCAGTACGCTTACCCTATAAATCAGATGCTGATAAAACTGTTATATAATTCAAACATTTAGCTTTGTTATCAGCCAAAAATAATATGAATCACATTTCAAGTTTTTAAGTTTTTAGAATTAAAATATTCGGGATTATGGAATCGATTAATTGTACAATAATATTTAAACTACTTCAATACACATAAATTTCTTTTACGTTGAATGTATCCACGTCTATGTATGTTTAAATATAGTGTATGTGTATATTTATGAATGTTCACACAAATATATATATATTACATTTATGAATTTTATAAAAATTATCAAAATACTTTCAAGAATCGTCCGCGCCTCTGTCGTACTATTATTGCTCATTTAGATACGACAAATTTATTCACTCTTATCGTTTCGTATGATTTTTCATTTTTTTACTTTTCTTTTCCTTTTTTTTTTTTTTTTTTTTTTTTTTGTTGTATTATTATTATTATTAGCAGTAGTAGTAGTATTTTTTTTGTTTTTTTTTTGTTTTTGTTTCTTTTTTTTTAGTTTTTTTTTTATTTATTTTTTTAGTTGTTGTTGTTGTTGTTGTTGTTGTTGTTGTTGTTGCTGTTGCTGTTGTTGTGATTTTCAAATTTTGCTTTTATTTAAAAACGCCTTTCTACATACTTCGTATGTAATTTCAGTTTTTGCCAATTTTTGCGTCGCAATTATCACGATTGCGCGAAGCTTTAAAGCACAGGCACGCTTAAAATAATACGTATTACCGTGATGTCCGGTGTCAAGTGTGATGATAAGCAATAATAAAGAAAAGTAAAATTTTTTTTTTTTTTTTTTTTTTTTTTTTTTTTCAGTTAATGTTGAGATGTGACGAACGTAAACAGTTAAAAATAGGGATGGTCGTAGTAGTTTCCTTCTGTTGCAGGCCCGATGTTGTCAAGTGAGTCTTTAAAATCGTCTCAATTCGTGACGTGCGTCCTGCATTGTGTGTTACCAGTCGGTCTGCGAAGACAAATAGAAATATTACATTTTCCCCATGAATTTTCATGTAATGTGAGCAACGATGATATCTATTAATCTTTATACATTAATATCCCTCTTTCGTGAGACCCCAAATTCAATGGGTCATCCATTTGCCCATTGCACTTTACGTATGTTCGTTTGTACGTCGTGTTAATTGTACTTACAATTCGCTTAGGCTTTTAATGCTCATCCTCGTCCATTTTTAGACGCTTCCTTCGGTCGTCGCCAACGTTACGCTCCTCAGCTTCTAAAACTTTTAAACGGGACCCGCAGATTTCTTGTCCGTGTAGAGCCTGCGACAGAGAGCTCGTTAATTATATAGAGAACGTTTAGGAAGCCTAATTGGACGTATAGGTTAGTACAGCAATTTACCTCGATGGCTTTATTGGCACTATCGACAGAAGCGTACTTGGCGTATCCACAATTCTTGCCAGGTAGCATATAAACGTCAATGAGGTTCCCAAACCTACAAAATGCATCCTTCATGGCATATATAGAAGGCACTGGAGGACCGCAGACAATGAAGCATCGCTTGGCCACATCGGCATCGATACTGGCCATTGGTTGCAGCGGTGGTAGCTTACCGATCGAGTGGTCCAGTGCTGAAATAAGTATAAGTATAAGGAGGGTATAAGTATAAGCGAAGGCTTCTTAAGCTTCTGAGAGATATAGGATTAATGAACCTACTAGGCGCCGTTAAACCAGCTGCTTGGATGAGCGAAGTCGCTTGAGCGATAGTTTCGGCTAGATGAGCCAAATCGGTTCTTGCTGCGACAACACCACCCGGAGTTGCTATGTTGCTGGGTATGCCTTGCTTCAAACCTGCTTTTTGAGGCAGGGGTCCAGATAGATCTGGCTTCACAATCATTCTGTGGCCGAGGGGATATTCAAAGCCGTGGAACTTTTCTCTCGCGTACGCAGCAGCACTGGGATTTGTGTAAACCACGGTAGCTTGTCCTCGTCGCATTCTATATCTAGCGTCCGTTTTGAGATGACAGTAATCCATACCAGGCACGATATCGAACAATTTCCACAATTGATCTTGATTCAAGGCTGGATGGGCAATCACTTGGAGCTTAGTGTAGCCCTCTGAATTTGAATAATTTGTCGCTATTTCCAATCCAATACTACTTTTACTGTAGTTATTATTATAATTTGAATTGTTTGAATTGTCGCAGCCCATGGACATTCCGTTGCTGACTTTTTGATCGAGATCGGGCTTGGGTTTTTTTGGCTCGGCAAATACAGCTTTATACTTTCTGTCACATTCTTCGAACGCTATCGCAGCACTAGATACTTTCTTAAATTTAACATAACCAAAACCTTTTGATTCATTGGTGGTTCTGTCTTTGACTACCGTCACATACTCGATAGCCCCAAACTTTGAAAATTCTTGCTGGAGTTCGCTATCCGTCATGGACTTTGGTAGGACACAGAACAGTCTAACCCAGCGTTCCTCTTCGTTCGTCTCTCTAACCGATCCTTGATCTCGGCTAAAAATTATCCGACATTGTTTATAACAAGTACTCGTTATCCAATGGTAAATATTGTCCAAGTATACATATATAATCTTTAATCCAAGCTTAAGATAAAGTTTACAAATATATTTTGTAATGAAAGAAAATGTTATTCATTAATTATTAATTAACCAAACTGGTTGACGCCATTAGAATCCATAGTAAGTAAATGTTGTTATAATACTTACAAATTTATAACAACAATGTAAAATTAAGACGTTTTGTGAATTAACATATGTGTTAATAAATGGCGTGGGTTCAATTATATGAAAAATGTCTCTCTACGTGAGATTACAAGGCATTGCGGTGACTAGACAAACAATAAGAGAAGAAGAACTCGTGCATTGAATGTGTGCGAATATCACGTATACGATAATAAGTGAGACTTACTTGGAGGCAATCATAACTTTGATCGGCCTGCCGACGGAGCCGAGCATCTTACAATTCATCTCCTCGAGGGCATAAGCGGCCTCCGATGTTTTCGAGTACTTGATGTAGGTGACACCTGCGCGAAGGTAATAAAAAAATATTAAAGGCATATCAACATTAACGAGTCATGAACGGCAACATCAACATCAACGTTGACGACAACGATGCCAATGACGACGCCAACGACAAGGATGACAACGCCAAAGACGACGACTACGAGGATGACGAAGGCAACGACGAGGATAATGCGAACGATGGGAATGACGGGGACGATGGAGACGATGGGAACGACGGGGACGATGGAGCAATAATAACGACAACGAGAACGACAATGTCAACGACCACGACAACGACAACGACAACGATCACGACAACGACAACGACAACGACAACGACAACGACAACGACAACGACAACGACAACGACAACGACAACGACAACAAAAAATAAAGACAATCACGATAACGACAACAAAAGGAGAAAAGTACAAGAAAGAAAAAGAGACGCATAATATTAAAGCTACCTTTATTCTCGCCAGTGCTTCGGTCCTTCACCACCCAGATGTCCTCGATCTTGCCAAACTTCTCGAAGGCCTTCCTGAGCTCCTCCTCCTCGAGGCTCTTGTGGCAGATGACGAAGAGGCGAGAATTGGGCGGGTCGTCGTTTTTTGAGCGCGGGTCCGAGCCGGGCCCGTAGTACGGAGAGTCTCGTTCACCACGGTGGTCAGCCATTTTACAGACTCTCGAGCTCGACTGCTGAAGAGGCCGAGGTGAATGTGGCGCGGGAGGGAGGCGGTGGCGGCGGCGGCCCGCCACGAGAGAGACAGAGGGAGCGCGCGACCGGGTACAATCGCGCACAGGGGGCATCATTTGCAGCCGGGAGCTGGTGATTATGGGCTCGGTTAATTCCGAAGTTGGCTGAGGCGACGGCAGCTCCTCCCCCTCGTACTCGTCGTACGCGCGCCAGATCTGACTCGCGGAATTATCCTCCTCGCGGTCGCGAACGTACCGCCGGTTCGAGTAAACGGGAAGCGCACCTCGGGGGGCGCAGTGCCTTCTCTGTCTTTCTCCCTCCTTAATAGCCCAGAGGGACGCGCAAGGAGCCGACGACGACGACGACGTCGATGACGGATAGCCATCGAATAATGCGTGCGCCATGGCTTATTTATTGCTTTGTTTTCGTGGCCGCCCGCTTCCGCTTTGTTCCCGACGAGGACTTTAAAAACGGCGCCTACGAGCTCCTTACCACCACCCCCCACCCCCACCCCCTACCCCTCTCCACTTAGCGGAAAATGTGCTTACTTTTGTGCGGCGGCAATTTGAAAACTTAGGTATCGCGCCTTTCGCGTAAACATGCGAGGCGGCGGCAGCGGCGGCGGCGGCGGCGGCGGCGGCGGCGGCGGCAGCGACGGCAAATCTCGGCCGCTAATTCCGATTTATTATTGCGTGCGAATTGCCGAGCGTAGGTTCCGTATTATGTAAGCGACGCAATTAGCGCCGAATAGCTGGCAAAAACAGTCGTCGCCTTCGGTGGTTTTGTTTTATTTTTTTTGTTCTTTGTTTTGTTTTTTGTTTTTAATTCGTTTTTTTTTTCTTTATTTTTTTTTTTATTCCTTTTATAATAATCACCCCGATACGATTGACAATAAAAATGAAGAATATTTTTACTGGCAATGCTCGAGGGCGCAAAAATATACGGAAGATATAAACTGAGAGAAAAAAAAAGAATTGCACAAGAAGCACACACTCGTTTATTATTTTGTTTACGCATGGTATTTACTACAATTTTTTATCTTTACTTTTCTGTTTTCTTTTATTTTCTTTCTTGTTCTTTTTCTTTACATGTATTCACCAATATGTATTTAGTATGTTTATTATGTATTTAATGTATTTAGCAATATTTTTTAATTTCTTGCATTGCTTTCTACTTTTTATGCTCGAAAATAGCCTCGGCGCGTTATTAATAAACAATATGGAACAGTTCCAAAATATTTTTAACTGAAACGAACATTTAAAAGAGTTTGCTAAATGAACGATAATAAGTAGATTCTCGTAAAATTCGATATGTAATGTATGTACTATGGGTAAGTACGTACATGCTCGTATGCACGGGTGCACGTACGCACAATTAGGATTATACGAATGTAGTAAACTGCTTATTATTTAATAAAGTGACAACCCTATGGAACATGCAATGGGTAAAATTTGTCATGTCGACGCCGCGTAGGAGTGTAAAGAGTCTATGTAATGTGCGAAGTAGGCAATCTAAATTACGCATTATCGTTATTAACGAGGCGGTATATGCGCGGAGGGAGGACGGGGTGCCTCGAGAAACTGAGATCCCCAAGTAACGAGGAATAGCACGCGACTTAACGCGGTAGCGTAAGTGTCCCATTACATAACTGTATTTAAAAGCAAGTGACTATCATCCGCTCACTCGGGCAGTATTGCACTAAAAAGGAAATCCTCGACAACGACTTCGACGTAGAACGGGCGGTTGAACGTCGCGTCGCGGACACCTTATTGGCCCGTAACTTACCATGCGTCGGGATTCAAGCGGACGCGGATAGGAGCGCCGAGGAAACGAAGGCCTCCCCCGTAGCCTCTCGCCCAAACTTGGACTCGACGGAGGTCGTCCGGAGCTGCGAAGAAACGATGACGACCACTCAGGATCCCGAACTCTGTGCACGTGCGCCGCGGAGCGACTGCCGTTTTCTCTCTCTTCCACGGCAAGACCGACAGCCAAAATCCCCCTCTCCCCGATATCACACGTTTTAACAACTCACCGTTACTCCGCCACTCCTATATTTCACTTGTTTACGGAACGAGCTGAAGAAGAGGCGACACGCGTGCACCTACGATAAGCCGATAATACCCCTTTACATATTCCTGCTCCTATTTGTAAACACGATAATTGCCGGCGCTCGCGGACTCGAAGGATCGCTCTATTCGGCGGCACCTCGTGCTCCCCGACCCGCCCCCTTCGTCCACTGCATTTATTACCACATTTAACGGAGCGTTGCGCACCAATGCAATCGGTACTCTGCTATCCGTCCGTCCTATCGATCCCTATCGATCCCTATCGATCCCCCGTACATACGTGCCGATTTGCTGAATCCCGAGTTGTGGATCGAGTCAGGAGAGAAAGAGCATCGTGCTATCGGTGTGGAGGTGGGGAGAAGGAGAGCCCCGATTAGCAAATTAACTTGGGAGTGCCTTGACAATTTCACGTGAAATTTACATGAAAACCGTACATGGACGGGAATTTATGGTTCACTCCAAAAAGTGCCCAACAATTAGAAAACTACTTTATTCGAGAGTTGATCGAATGATTATTTAGCGTGCCTTTTTAGCTATGATAACGCTGCGCGAAAACATCGTCAAGAAAAGATAGATCGTTGGCATTCAAATAATTTTGATGATTAATTTGGAAGCTCGAATTCTTGCATTTGATTGAGAAAAATCGAATAAAGCCAGTTGAGGCTCACTCTCTCTCTCTCTCTCTCTCTCTCTCTCTGTGTGTGTCAATTTATTTAGCAAAACAATGCTTTCAATACGCCCAATTTACCAAGAGTAAATATTACAAAATTTACTTTATAAAATCGTGACTCGGTTTCAATTCATAGCAAATATTGTTTTACAGTTAAAATTAAAGAAATTCACAGCTTGCTCGAGTCCAAAACGACCCAATCAATGTTCTTATTATCATTAATTATCTTTATTTTATATTCACCGATGTGCATACGTGTAAACTAAATACGTTTTTACATACAACTTTCTAGTGCGTAAAACAATACTATATTGTGCATTGTAAAGTAAATAATAATTTTATTATTGTTTTTTTTTTCGTCCTATATGTTGAATTTACACTTTCAATATTTTTATATGTTCATTGTAAATTATCTCGTTCAATCAAAAACCTCATTTGTTTTTTTGTTTTGACTATTCTAATAATTTACTAATTCGATAGACAAAACGCTCCTCTAACGATATAAATTGAATTTACTTTTCTCTTTAATTAAAGTAAACCAAGGAATTTAGTAGTAGGCATATTGTCCATGATGTCAAATAATTTTCAAATGAAAATCTCAAGGATCGAATATGAAATAATCACGGTAATAAATAAACGACACCCGGAAAATGATCTATACTTCGTATCGCATCATTTTCGTATTATCATATTTACGATTAATTACAATTACATTTAATATACAATGTGTACAAGAAAATAATCGAATAGTGCAATAGTGTAGATAAGGATAAATTACTTTGTATCGGATACGTTACTGCAACAATTCTATACAGCAATGATTTTCAATTACCTGCAGTATCGAAGACATAAATACACCATCACCTTTATAAAAGTCTACTATACCTATTAATATTATAAACAATAATATTAATAATTTAATATACGATATAATCTACAGAATAATTTTTGTCATAACAATACTCATTTTAAATAATTTTTTATAACATAACTGAAACAAGTTTTACAATAAGCACACAGCACTATTAAACAGTAAAACCCGTTTTCTCAGAAGATATTGAGAGATGGCATTAAAGTATATTTAAAGATCGGAAAATTAAATTTTAGAATGACATCGAAAAAGATGTCTCGAAGTAAAAATGAGCATCGTAACTTGCATTCTTAATAGACATTTAAAATTTAAATATAAAAGTGGCTTAATAATCTGTATATATATATATATATATATATATATATTTATTTATTTATTTATTTATTTATTTATTTATTTATTTATTTATTTATTTATTTATTTATTTATTTATTTATTTATTTATTTATTTATTTATTTATTTATTTATTTATTTATTTATTTATTTATTTATTTATTTATTTATTTATTTATTTATTTATTTATTTATTTATTTATTTATTTATTTATTTATTTATTTATTTATTTATTTATTTATTTATTTATTTATTTATTTATTTATTTATTTATTTATTTATTTATTTATTTATTTATTTATTTATTTATTTATTTATTTATTTATTTATTTATTTATTTATTTATTTATTTATTTATTTATTTATTTATTTATTTATTTATTTATTTATTTATTTATTTATTTATTTATTTATTTATTTATTTATTTATTTATTTATTTATTTATTTATTTATTTATTTATTTATTTATTTATTTATTTATTTATTTATTTATTTATTTATTTATTTATTTATTTATTTATTTATTTATTTATTTATTTATTTATTTATTTATTTAATGTTAAATGTGTGAGATAAAATGTGACTGTACAAGCCAACATTTTGACTAGTTAATATGTTTCGAGTGTCCTTTCGCACACATTGTCTCCCAAAGTTGTCAAATTTTTGTTAACATTGTGGATTAAATGACTTTGATTACAACTAAATTTTATTATTATATAATTATTAATTGTCAAAGTACTGCGTTAAAGATAAAAAAAAAGTTTTATTAGTAATTGGCGAAGTAATCTGTTACAAGATAAAAAAAAGTGTACGCTAATTCCGATAAATTTAAAAGATAATTCGCATAGTTATGTACATTGTATTTCAGAAACCTCGCGATATATACTAAAAGAATATTTATTCAAAAATAAATTAAATAATTGAATAAATAAAAGGAGGAAATGTTACATTTGCATTACACGTAATTAAGTATATAAGCATGCACATGTGTGGTTGAGAAAATAAATTAATAATCGCTTTTAACATATACATAACCAGCGAGCTCTTTATTATTCATACAACAGTAATAATGTAACAAATACAAATCTAAAAATATAACGTATACACGATAGTTTCGCTTAATAAAATTTTCTTTAGGACTGCATGAATTTTCATTCAGCCATTCGCATTGTTTGTCGCATATATTTTTACTATTTGTTTTCTCCGAGTTAACTGCAACCATCTGATTTATACTTAATATCATTAAGCATAAACGATATGAAAGAATTACTATCGATCCATTTGAATTTTCTAAGCGACGCTTCGTCCGTCTTTCTTTCACGTCGAGATGGTGGAGGTCGCGTCCATGGCCAATCTAAAAGTAACCAGCATTTGACAATTATCGAGCAGAAACGTTAAAATTGAAGGAATGAAAACGATTGCAGCCGGATATCACCATTTCGATGAGACAGAGCTACATTGTTAGGGGCGAGTAAATGACTTGCTTTCTTTTGCTCGTCGCCAACAATATTACATCGAACAAATACGGATATCATCAACTAATGCACGAAGAAGACGAAAGGAAATTCGAGAAGAGGAACGAATAGTAGCAATTGCGAGGGTGGGCTAGTACGCGGTGGTAATAGTAGTAGTAGTAGTAGTAGTAGTAGTAGTAGTAGTAGCAGCAACAGTAGCAGCAACAGTAGTAGTAGTAGTAGTAGTAGTAGCAGCAACAGTAGCAGCAACAGTAGTAGTAGTAGTAGTAGTAGCATCATGACATTCATTTCGAGTCGAAAGACCAATGACCTCGTTCGAACGAACCATTCCGCGGCAAATTATATTTGTCGAATACATATTACTCTGTAAACAGGTCATTCCGAATAGACGGCCTCTTTCTTTCTACACAACGCTCGCGTTATATGCCTCGTTATTATGCTTCGCTCCCCTTTGCCCTTTTCCATGCGACTATTTTCCAAATTTTTAATCGCTTGCACTTACAATACAGCCACATGCGACATCGTCTCTCCCAGGATTCGAATTCGAGTATCAGCCGATGGGAATCGAACTTTCTCTTATATGGCATCGTTTATATGTTGTACCCAGAGTCCTGTGTCAACAGTTAACGATACACGTATAGGCAATTTAATTTATCACTTCGTTGCGGATACTTGAGAAAAGCAAAAGTCGACTTACTAGTGGTTTTATCGATACAGTGCAAAAGAGAGTAACGAAGAACCATGCCGTTAAGATGAAAAAAAAAAAACAAAACAAAACAAAACGAAAATTAAAACCAATTAAGTCTTAATCACAGAAAAGCATCGATACCAAAGACCATTGCTGATTATTTATCGTATATAAATGCTAATGTAACGAGCGAGCGACGGAATAATCTATGCGAATGTAAGCAATGCAATAATAATAGAAAATAGAGACGTTGATGTAATTCCGATGAGGTACAATGTTTATTTAGTTAATCTTGCTTCGTATGTAATAGCAGAAAGTTTAAAATCTGCTGTCACCGAATGAGAACTTTCACCTTATTTATTATTCCACAAGCTTACACACATGAGGAAGCGTTGTGCATTAACAGAAATTTACTTGGCTATAGCTCGTACAAGCATCCTACACCGGATGTGCGCCGAATAATGGCAAATTACAAATTTCCGAATAATATTCAAAGTATAGATTGTCGCGCTGGACTATAATACTCGACATTAATGTAATCTGTTTTCGTTGCGCCGATTCGACTTCTCGGCATATTTGACATTGGTAAAATTTCACAAAATAAAATGTGCTCCTAAATTAGCGTGTAGCGCCTCTAATAAATATGAGGTTATAACGTTTGGCACTGGCACTCAAAATAGTGCTACAGAGCTTAGCAAACTCCAATAATATTAGGCTTCTAGGCCTTTATAAACAGTGCAGCAGCGTGTCTCTCAAGTCGCACAATTTTAAGATAAAAGACATAAATTGGCACCGCATAGAATATATGTGCGCCGAAAACGATGTTTCGTCATCATACGCCACCATCGATTCACTCGAACCAATCAATAACTACTTTAAAATATTATGCCCACCCATTTTACCTAAGAATTGTAAATTATTATCATGCTTTGTGAGACCACCAGTTTGAAAGTCAATATGAAATTCAAAAGATCGGTCTCCTCTATAGTTTTGACGTATTACCCTCAAAAGCTAAGCATACACGGCAGACCAATCATACGCGATGCCAAGGAGTCCGCGATGTCGATGAAAGTCGAAGGCCATAAAGGCAAATAAGAAATTCACAATTAAATATTTAATGCAACTATAGTACTGTCAAGGAAATGTATAAAAAAAAAATAAAAAAAAAGCAGGAGCGTTCGAACCACATACGTCCAACATTATAAAAAAAACTTTCCGCTTTAAGACAGAAAGAGTTGTTACATTATTGTAAGTAAGAATTTTTTTAGCGCTTAGGTGCTTAACCCAACTATGGGTCAAACTTCCGGTGCGCCCATCCATTCGCGACATAAAAGTAAAAACGTCTCCCATAAAACGTCGCGGTCAAATTAAATGACTTCGCTCGCACGAACAATGTGCACGACGATTAAATTACTCGTCGCTCGGTTGAAGCCGCCTGCCGCCACCTCCACCTCCACCTACGTCTTCTCCTCCTCCTCCTCCTCCTCGTTGTCATCATCGTCAGCATAGAAAAGAAGGAAAAATTTAAAGGAGAAATAATCAAAAACAGAAAAATATTTATTTAAAGAACTAATGGTGAAATACATCTGGTTCGTTAGATCTACCAGTAAAGTGAAAACGGCCGTAATTAAAAGAGTTGCTGACCGACATTGCGGTGCAGCAACGAAGGGGAAAAAAAGAAAACGTAGGAATTTCCCTCGGGTGGACAGTGCCGCGGGACTTTTACTAGAGCAGCGCGCACCGCACCGAGGTCGCGACATCGAAAGTGCGCATATATCATCATCGTCCTATCGCACTCTCTCCCTCTCTCTCTCTCTCTCTCTCTCACACACACACACACACACGCGCGCGCGCACGCATCACCTCCCTCCACCGTTTCTTCTATTCTAACGACAGCTTGTTGGAGGGTTGGTTGACGTTGAGAGGGGGTGGGGTGGAGGGCGGATGAATGGAGGTGGGGGAGGGGGGGGGGGGAAGATCCGAGTTATCTCATGTCCGCAGCCGTCGCTCGGGGGGGGGGGGGGGGGGAGGGGGGGGGGGGGGGGGGGGGGGGAGAAGATCCGAGTTATCTCATGTCCGCAGCCGTCGCTCGTCGTCGGATACTTGGATCTCGTTCCTTGAGCGCTTAGCGGCGTTGCCTCGGTATTGACACGCTCGAAATACCTCGCCCCATCATCGTCGCAGCGCATTCTAGTGCACGCGATTCTTCCCAACTCCGCTCTTGTATGGCGCTAGGAGGCTTGCATCTCGGGACGGCCGAGAAATATTGCTAGTAACCTCGACGACTCTCTACTCGTGCACGATCCGTAGTGATAATAAGGCGAGGTCATAACGACGGGGCTGGGGTTAGGATTTGGTTATCAGGCGTCGTAAGTCGAGGCTGACACGCTGCCGCCCTGGCCGGTCCAATTCGTGTGTACGAACTTGCCCTCGGCGCCGAGGATCTCGTACGTGTGGGCCCCGAAGTAGTCGCGCTGCGCTTGAAGGAGGTTGGCTGGGAGGCGGGCCGCGCGGAAACCGTCGTAGAAGGCGAGGGCCGAGGATAGGGCCGGCGTCGGCAGTCCGAGGTACACCGCCGCTGTCACCACTTGTCGGACGCTCGCCTGGCAGTTGCTCATCACATTCGCGAAGAAATCGTCCAGTAGGAGGTTCGTCAAGTTGGGATTTTCGTCGAAGGCCAGTTTGATTTTGCCCAGAAACACACTGCAAACATACATATTTGGTTTTTGCTCTTTCTTCTTCACTCTGTTCTTCCTCATTATTGTTGTTTTTTATGAGTCGATGAGATACCGATAATTCCGACGACTCATGTTTATTAATTTGGCGCTCGCGCGTTCTTTCGTTTGCCTTATTATGATGTGGAAAAATACTGGGCATGGAATAAGTGCCGCACGGAAAATGTCGACAAACGATTTGAATGTTTAATATTGAATGGGACGTGCGGTCGTAAATTATTAACGCGCGCTCGATAAGCACGAGTTCAAGGTAATGATGAACCTTGAACTCGTGACCACGATATTGGTATTGAATTTTTTAAATGAACTTTTGTATATTGTAGAGTAAGGTGAAACGTGAGTTAAGAGTTTTTGTTCATTTAAATACACAGATTTCTTGCAATAAATAATGAAGCACATCAGCTTACATTAAAAGAACTGAATTATGGAAAATAGAATAATTGCACACTGATATACCTTCTGATAATGCAGCCGCCTCTCCACATAAGGGCAATGCTACCGTAATTAAGATTCCAATTGTTAGACTTTGCTGCCTCTCTTAATAACATAAATCCTTGTGCGTAAGATATTATTTTTGATGCGTAAAGGGCCTTTCTCAAATGCTCTAATAACTCCTTTTTATTCCCTTCGTACTTGGTATTTGGTCCATGTAACACGGAGCCAGCCTCCATTCTTTCATCCTTTAAAGCCGACAGATATCTTGCGAATACCGACTCTCCTATGAGAGTCACCGGAACCCCATAATCTAAAGCTGCGATGCCGGTCCACTTTCCTGTTCCCTTTTGTCCCGCGGTATCCCTAATTCTGTCCAATAGATAACCTTCTTGGTCTTTGAATTTCAGAATATTACTCGTAATTTCGACTAAAAACGAATCTAATTCCCCGTTGTTCCATTCGGCTACTATGTCGCTCATTTCGTCGTTATTCAATTCCAGGCCATCTCGCATTAAATGGTAGGCTTCGCAAATAAGCTGCATATCGCCATATTCTATTCCATTATGTACCATCTTAACAAAATGTCCAGCTCCATCAGCTCCTACCCAATTGCAGCACGGCTCACCGTTGACTTTTGCGCTGATGGCCTAAAGTAAAAAGAGACTAGCATCCATCGACTCCGATAGAAGTGAAACGCATATAAAATACCGTTATACCTGAAAAATAGTTTTAACGTGCGGCCAAGCCTCTTGATCACCTCCGGGCATTAACGATGGCCCGTATCTGGCCCCCTCTTCGCCTCCGCTCACACCACATCCAACGAATAAAATATCCTTACAAGCTAAATATTTACCTCTTCTTTCCGTATCTCTATACTCTGAATTACCACCATCCACAATTATATCACCAGGCGATAAAAGGTCAAATAAAGAATTAATGACACCATCCACCGCTCTGCCAGCTACAACAAAAGAAAAGCGATTAAAGGAACATCTCTCGTCGTTAATTCAAAGTCTTGGAGTCGCTTGCCTTTCACAAGTAGCATAACTATTCTAGGTTTCTTCAACTTGCCAACCATCTCCTCTAGGCTAGAAGCACCAACGACCTTTGTACCTTTCGCCTCATTCTCAAGGAAAGACTTGACTTTATCGGTGGTACGATTATAAGCACAAACCACAAAGCCATGATCGTTCATATTCAAGATAAGATTCTGGCCCATGACGGCCAAGCCCACCAAGGCTATATCAGCTAATCTGAAATACAATTATACTCAATTATCATAAATAACACTCGTCGCATTATCATAATAACAGGAGCAACGACGTCATTGACCAAAGCTCTGCCGGCTATCAAACAAAGCCCATCCCGATGGCCAAATCAAAGGACACTAATCACTGCTGACACAAACCTCCTATGCATCGCATTAAATTTAACTCACGGCTCTGTCATTTTGTCCTTTCCAACTGTTCGGCGAGTTTACGCGTCCAGCATCAACGGTCTCCTCCAAAGTCCAGATCTCCAAGAACGTCCACGAATGCTGGCCGAGCACCGAATTACCAGCTACGACTATCAAGAGCCACAATCTCGCACGACGTCTCGAGGGGATCAGTTGAGGTGGCCCTCGGCCAATCGCGCGCCTCCGCCTTCGTACTGTCCAGTGAATTATCGCCGAGAGTCGCCGCCAGTCACTATCATGGAAAATAATAAGCCAACAGGGAGAGAAAATAAAAAAACTAACGAGCGCGTGTCCGCGAGCGATTATATTCGATATCGTTGCCACTTGATACGTATCCGTGTCTTTGCTCATACACTTCATGCCTTACTCATTACCTACGATATTTATTTTTTTCCCCAACTTTCTCGTTCGGTCTTTGTCGTTCTACTCCTCATACGGTATCATTAATATCTGATCTCGGCAGCATTTACGTAAGATTTATTAAAAGTTCTTTCGTATAATTTTCTTGATAAAGCTCATGGTTTTTCAAATTATCCCCTCCCGCCGTCGCCGCCGTTTTCATCGTCTTCTTATCTTGTTGCGTAACCTAATTTTTAATTTTCAAATATTCCAACTGACATTGATTGTTGTTCGATTGGGTCTATTACACCACTTGCCGCTCGGCGCACACCCTACACAATAAGAACGAAGAAATCTTTAGGAAATCTCATCTAAAGTAATCGATTGCAACGTCACGTTTACATCAGTAAACACGAAACACAAAAACAAACACAAAACAATGTTGATTGTCGAATGTCCGAATATCATAGTTTAGGATTTGTTTGTTTGTTTTTTTCTTCTTCTAATTGATTATTTATATTAGTATTGGTATTTTTTAATAATCCCATCGTATTGAAATATTTTTAATATTTATAGCTGACCGTATTTGTATTGTATGGTTAAATATTTAGTAAATGACCTATGGCATCTGCTGATTTGCTCAGCAATTTATTACGATTTAATAATTAAATGAACGGAAAAAAAATCGTTCTTAACAACGTTATGACTTGACTAGCTGTTAAACGAAGCTACGCATTGAATTTTGTTTTTTTTTCTTTTTTAAGGAAAAGAAGAAGAAGAAGAAGCAAAAGCTATCGCTTATCGAGTGCATCACATGATTCTGCAAATTAATGGTATTCGATCTTATCTACATATTTGGCTAGTTAGGTAATAAAAAATATTGTCACGAAACGTCGCTCTTTTAAAATGTTATCAATATACATGAAACGACGGAGGAAAAAAAATGTTTTAAGGAAGTTTTCCCCATTTAATTATACGTACGTATGTCCGTGTCACAATTTATGTGCATATGCATAAATATGCAAAAATAATGGCGAAATAAAGTCATTTCATTAATTTTTTACTTCGGCATTTAATTAGCTTTTGGAAGTCATAATTTACCTAGTAGCTTTCTTTTTTAAATTATTAATCGTTTAAAAAGATATATAAGATTGTCGAAGCTTTTTTATCCAAGTGTATTGCATTGTTGCTATTATTTAATTCATGTTATCTTTATAATAATTCATCGAGAAGTATTGGTTATTTTAGTATTTGAAATTCGAATATTATTGATATTAATAATATTACTACACATGGTAGCAAAATAATTACGATTGCTTATTTTTGAATATATGCTACTACATCTGTATCGACCACGTTCCTATTGATAAATTTGTTTTACAAAAAAAAAAATGTAAAACATAATTTGCGATAATTCTTACATTTGATATTTGAGCTCTTTGATACAACAATTCTAGTCTTATGATTCATTTTCGCACTAAAAAACTCTCAATCTTTATTAAAACTAAATATCAATAAAAATAATTGATTACCGAGTACCAAATTGTGTACGATTTTATACATTTTTTTGCATGCTTGTGCGCCTGCGTGCACACACACACACATACACGCTAATGGCGAGCATAGTATTAGTGTTTAGAATCCAACACCATTGTTGGTTGGTAAGTAGATTGCACGCTATTTTCAAAGTGTGAATATATTCGACCTTCGATTATTAACTTTTCATACAAATGTGATACGATATAACCACGTTGAAATTATAATATGAACGGAGAATTTGTAACTAAATAAATTCTTCTTGCAAATATTCAAAAATAATAATATAACATAAAAAAAGTTTATGTATATATATATATATATATATATATATTTAATTTTACATTTATTGATTCATAATCTTTAATTTGATCTTTAAGAAAGTCACATTTGTTTTTATAAGAGTGAAAAGATTATAAATGAAAATAGTTTCAAAAATCATAAATACACACATATAATGTCAGTTGATAAAATGCGTAACTTACATATGCGTTATACAACAACTAAATCTTGAGTTAAGAATTTTCGTAATAATTTGATTTTATCTTATAAAAATTCTTTTCCTAATTAAAAAATTTGACAACGTAAAAATTCACGAACTCTAAAGCAAACATTTTATTTTATTATTTTTAAAAATAATAATAATAATAATAATAATAATAATAATAATAATAATAATAATAATAATGATAATGATAATGATAATAATGAAACCTAGAGACATAAATATGTAATATGTTTATAAAATAAATTTATTTATTTAAATAAATGTTCATACTTTTATTTAAAATCTTGTAAAAATTATATAAGAAAATAAAAATAACAATATATTGTTATAAATTAACGATAAGCACTAACAATATTATCATTTTTCTCATTTTAATGGCACTATTACAATACTATTTGAACTAGTCGATGTAAGGCTTATTATATAAATTGTTTAATTTATATTAAGAATCAGAGAGCTTTAAAATAATAGATTAATTATTTTATTCATAATCACACATTATTATTCAGTAATTATTATTTATTATTTTTTTTTTTTATATTCTATCGGTGTACTTGTGAAATTAATGTATTTTGTAAAACGCAAGGCTGTATTATTATCAAGCGCCGTATTCGCCATGAATCTTATATCTTTACAAAACAATTCATTTGACAAAATGTATCATCCATTTAGTTGCTTTAAATCATTTAAGAAAAAAACAAAAACTAAAACAAAAACAAAAATAAAAATGATAGCAATATGCATCTAAAAATGCCTATGAAGTCCTTTGAAGCACCAAAGTACACGACAATAAAAGTTATTAATTCAAATATTTTATGTAAACTATCGAAAATCTAAAGTAAGATTTTGTAATTATGTCGATATTATTCCATAACCGTTCGATTTATAACTTCGGCAAACATTATCTCCCTATAAATTCGGCAAGCCTCAATAATATAGGCTTTGGCAATTTAAATTATCATTAAAAAGTTGAATTTAAAATTCATGCAACGTGACTCAGCTGAGCTCAAAATAATACAGCAACAACAATAATAGTGATATTAATAGTAATAATCGTTGAAATAACAAGAAGAACGATAAGAATGAGAATTAATAATAATAATAACAGTAATAATAAAAGTGACTATGGTGACGATGATAATGCCTAACGATCGTTGCTTGCGCCCAATAACAACAATAATAATAATCCGACAGTCCACTGTGTGAGCGACGGTGGTAGGCGGCAGTGCGGGGAAGCCAGGCACTCGCAGGCACGATGAGTCCCGGTGAGATGTCCTTAACGAACCGTCGGAGCATTAATACCGGGAGTATCGACCGTAGTAGTTGGCGCTGCGGCCCGCGTCAATGGGATTGCACGAGAATAGCGCGTCGCCCCGGTAGCCGTCGTTGCAGGTGCAGACGGCGATGTGTCGTCTGGGCGAGCAGCTCGCGTTTAAGCCACACTCGCGGCCGGTGCACGGGTTCTGGCAGGAGAAATTGATGCAGGCTCGGTTGTCCGGGCACTCGGCATCCGAGAGGCACTCGCCTCGCTGGCAGCTGATCAGTGCGTTGCCGACGTAGCCGTGGGGGCAGGTACAGACCGGGCGCTTCTTGCCGGTATTGTCGTGGCCCGGGCGACACTCGGCACTCGTGCCACATGGATTTGGACTGCACAGATCCTCTGAAAAGGCGATCGGTCCGTCAGTTTTATAATAAGAATTGCCGAGATAATGATAATCGTGGATATTGTTGAGGCAAAGGGGGATCATTGAGAGCCCAGGATAATCGCGAGAATTTATTAATAGCGCGATTCTTAGTCGATCCCCGCAAAGTTACCCTCGAGCTTTGATTTTATGATGCGACGAGTGGAAGGTAGAAGGATATTATGCATCTCGCGTAAACATCATTCGTTTATTAAATTCGCTACATACATTCGCTGTCATTTAACACGCACGCACGCGCATATCGATATAACGGTTGCGTCATCCTACCAATACAATCGTGTCGTTTCTTGGCACTTTAATCCGAATGGGTAAAAGATAAAGCGGTGTCGATTGATCGCTACTTTATCGAATTATTAAAGCTTAAAAGCGTGGCAAAAAAAGAAAGAAAGAAAGAAAAAAAAGAGAGAGAGAGAGAGAGAGAGAGAGAAAAAAAACTCAAACTGGCCGCTCAAAAGTGGCTAATATTGTAGCTGCCGGGCGCTTCATTAAAATAAAAAACAAATTTGAAGGAAGAAGATATGTGTTTATCGAGAGTCAATAATTTTCAAGCGGATCTTTCGGCCAAGCCAATTAGCCTTGGCATTTGTCGAGCGGCGACGATTCCAAATTGTTTATACACAGACGATTCCATAATAGTCACTCGGGGGTCACTCGCGGTCGAGATGACGCGCGATAGCCCATAGGTCAGCCCAGCTTCTTCGTACCGCAAGCGGAAAGGTCCGGATAATGTCTTACCGTCGGTGAAGGGCCTGCAGTGGGTGAAGGGATCACCCGTGCGATCCTTGGGACAACTGCACACGGGCGTCACGTCCCGGAGCTCGCAGTTTGCGTGGGTGCCGCAGACTCCGTCACAGGGGTCCACGCACTTCTGGTAATGGCAGGCGGGCTTACCAGCCGGACAGTCCGAGTGGTGGCTGCACTCGGGCCTGCACGATATCAGAGGATTGCCCAGCCAATTCTGCAGCAAATGAATTCAAATAGTTAGCTTAAGCGTGAAAAATGTTGCGATGTGAATCGATGATGTCACTAATGGGTAACGAGGAGCCTTTGGTGACGAGCGAGCATTAAGGTTTTTCGAATAACTCTATTGGCCGATGTCGAATTTTTCGAGGTACCTTTCACCGTCCCCCGGTCGTTTACAGCTTCTCGATGCGTAAACTAGTGATGTACGTAACGAGTTTCACGGTAAATACGCTTTTTCGTGTATCATTTTTCGTTCGAACGTCGGTCGTCGAGCGCTCAAAGAATTTGAAATATACTCCATGTATTTGACTAGTCGCTCAACAAGATATTCAGAAGAATCTCATTACCACATACGCAACATTGATCTCTCTACGTGCAGAAATAAAACTTATTCACGTTAATGACATTTCATTATGTCTTCGAGATAAGCCTCGCTAAATAATAATAATAATAATAATAATGATAATAATAAGGCTCGATGGATCAAGTTTAGAGCGATCAAGCGGCTATAAATATAAATGCCGAGCGTCTGGATAACTTTATGTAAGCGGGATATAATATGGAGAATTTTTATTTATAAGCGGTATAGTAGAAAGTTCACGTGTACATGTAAGAGAGAAAAATCAGAGTCTTTTAAGTCTCGACCATAACCAGGTATCACAATCCATACGCGGCGTCGGGTATTAACAATCTCCGTAACTTATGTAATATATTTCAAAACGTCCATGTACGGTATAATAAGATTTTGAGGCCGATTCCCAAGTTCTCAAGGACAAGAGAGTCGCATTTTAAACTCCTTTTTAATAGAGAAAGCTTTCTAAGTTATTATTTTTATATTTTAGCGTGCACATCGAGTGGAATTGTGAGTTTTTCTTTGCAATCAGAAGTTAGTAAGTAGTCTTCGTTATTTTCATACGATAGTACTTCAATGTTAAATAAGTTAGGAGTCGAGGTGAGGGGGGGGGGCGAAAAAAAACGAAAAAAAAAAAACGAAAAAGAATAAAAGAAAAAAAAAAGACATCTATTATCTCACTGCTTATACGCAAGAATTTTAAATAGAATTATACATTCGTTCGATAATATTTTTCGTACTATTGCGTTAACGGTTCATATATCATGGATGTCGTCTCGATTTCAAGCAGCAAGCCTCGAATGGAAATCTCACAGCTATTCTCGCATTGATTTGCTTTAATTAGCTTTTATTAGCTTTATTCTCTGCTACGATTTAGCCATAAATATCATTATAGCGTTTATAAGTTAATTGAGATTAATCGTTTAAAATAAAGATGCTGCAAAGCATAAGAAAACACGGCTATGATCTCTAAACGAATGCCGCGCATCTCCGTAAATTCGCTGAATTTGCAACATTAATAAACAAAGTCGTCGGATTATCGTGGGATAATCGTCGAAGAGGCAAGGAGTCGCTGACCTTGGGACAGGTGCACTTGGCACGATGATTGACGACCTCGCACTCGGCGCTCTCGGCACACTGGCTACTGCAGGGATTCTCGCATCTGAAGTCCGAGGAACAGGAGAGATGCTGGGGACAGTCGGTATCAGCCTCGCACTCGTGACGGCAGCCCTCGAGTGGTCGGCCCCGGTAGCCCGGTAAGCACGTGCACGTCGCCACGCCCTTTATCACCTCGCACTTGGTGTTGCTGCCACAGGGATTTGGGTTCTTGCACGGTGCCTCTGTTCCACGGTGCTTTTAATTAGACACTACGAGGATTCTCATGGATGATGGTAGAGGGAAGGGATATTTTGATGAAATGCTTAAACACTTTGTATTAATGATTACGAATTGGTAATTTGCATCGTTAAATATTGTTCCTCGGGTATGTCTAATCATTGCGGATGAAGAGTGGCATTGATGTTTTGAATATTTTGACAAATGTTCGCGTCTACGGTAAGCGAGGCTCGATGCAATTACGGCCTCAATTTTTATTTCACATGTAAAAATTTGTTATCTCTCAAACGCTCTTTCATTATACAATTTGAAATCTAAATCACAATTGAAATCTAATTGGCACGGATGACGATTATCGCGAATTTCGAATATAATCTCAGAATCGGCACGTCGCAGAAACAAAAGTTGAAAATCATTGTATAAATAATTGGGAAGAGCTTTTATTGAGGCGTTGGCCATTTGCTTAATCTAATTATTGCACGGCCTCTTTAAACCTGCTGAATTTAATTTCAGCGATAATAGATCCACAAAACAAATGCAATTTGCAAATAATGAGCAAGGAGCTGGGAGTTTGTACTGCTAAAGAGTTGCTTACTTTACACTTATCGCTCAAATTAATTGAAAGCGTCTTTTATCTCATTGTAATTGATAAGGCAATACTTATTAAGCAAATTTCAAATTTTAAATTAAATAAAAATCAGAAGCTACTTATTGCGAATGCGTTTACAACTAAAATACAAAATGTAAAAATGTAATAAAAGCCACGTATATTTTATACATTCGTTCATCAACGTAATTCTAATGATAATATTAAGACACTCATAAATACATACATCGAGCACAATATATAAAGTAACATTGCACATAAAGTAAATAATAATCGATTATAATATATTGAATCAAACGTTGTGTTGGGCCAAATGTATTTTGCAACAATTTTATATTTTCATAAGATGTCAAGTTCGTAGAATTCAACCGAAACTGGCTTGAATATCACAGACTCCCAACTGCCCAAAACTCCGGCCCGAATAATATAATCGTTAAAAGTAGCTGAGCTAGACGTAATAAATGTAAAGTTCATGAACAAAAAAAAAAATAAAAAAAAAAAAAAAAAAAAAAAAAAAAAAAAAAAGCAGTGTGTGCTTTATTGGTGGATTGATCGGTCAAAGTCATCGAGCTCGTTTATATAAAATGAGCAGCGCTCGAGCCGCTCTTATTATAATCCTGAAAGGGATTTTCTCGGGAAGTGCCGAAGCGCATCACCAACGGTCACTTACGAGGATCGTAGACGCAATTTTTGAAGGGGTCGCCGTTGTAGCCCGAGGGGCAGCTACAGACCGGCACGTGGTTCCTCGTGTGGCATAAGGCGTTCGTCCCGCAGGCGTCAGCGCACGGGTCCACGCACTTGTTCGACGAGCAGATCCTGTTGCCGATGCAGTCGTCGTTGACTGCGAACAATCGTTATCAGTTAATCACCCGTACATCCGCCGGCCCATCGATACTCATACTCACTTATACACTCGACGCGGTTGCACACGGCCAATGGATCGCCCATGTGGAGATTGAGGCAAGAGCAGACTGGACGACCCTCGCTTATCGTGCATCTCGCGTTAACGCCGCAGGTGTGGCTGTCGCAACTACTCCCTAAACATCGAAGCTCGGGGTTATTGGGGTTTGCCAGGGGCGGCCCAAGCCGAAAGCTCGGACGATTATTATATCATCGTATCTGCTCAAAGGCAACGAGTTAAAAGTGTTTTTTTTTGTCCAGCCCCGAGCCGAGCTTGACAATTGTCGCGCGGATCGTGTCATTCAAGTCGCTTTCACTTTGATAAAAATTCAGCCCGCACCAATTGAATTTCGCGATTGTGGGTTTATCGAATGCTAAACTAGAATAGCGCGCTTTACGGTTAGCGATATTATTCTGACGTTTATATTCTATTTCTATCGCTTCTGTAATGACAGTTGGCGCTATTATTGATGTCGATATTATTAATAAGTGGCAGAGGCGTTAAACCGTGGAAACAACTTTATCTCATTGATTTATTGTAGATTTAAGCATATTTAATCGTTTACTATATATACGTGACGCTTAGCTGAACGGATTTGATCGAACAAACAACACGAACGAAAACATCCGCATATGGCACATTCGTCTTATTGGGCACACCACGCGCTTTTTTAATAATCCAAGCCTCGTATAATTACTTCCCGTCTCTACGGTGTGCTTCTGATTAATAAAGTCATTATAAAAATTACCATTTCTTACGCCGCGAACGTATTTGTAACTTTCTGGGTGAGTATTGCGTAAAGCAAATTGTATCTATTTGTGGCTACTTTTGTGCGCACTACTCTGGGATGTCCAATGCAATTAGCTCATTTCTCAATAGCAATCACGGGAAATTAATTGACCTTGAGCTTTTTCTTTTAATGGTTCCATGTGCTCGACGGTGAGAAAATTAACGCGCTACTTGATATTTAATTTACTTGACAGTTTATATATAGATATATATATATATATATATATATATATATATATATATTTATTTATTTATTTATTAGATTATTGAAGGATAGTCCATATTGCACACGAAACGAATCGTATGTAAAACTTACTTATAGCAATGTACTATTTCATTGCTATAATTATAAATACTTAGAAAATTTTACTTTAAACTACATGATTCTATTAATTTTTTATATAACATAAAAATTTATCTTCGATAATATCCTGGTTATATTATTGATGTTAAATATTATAATCGTACTATTAATGAGGTATAAACATTCAGATAATTAATTAAAATAATTTTGTAAATTAGAATAATATAGTTTTTTAATTTTTCATAATAGTAGATTATGTCATTAAAAAATCAAATAAGGAATCTGCCTGCCTTTGACGAACCTCATCAATATTTCAGTTATCTTAACATAAATCTTTTAAAACGCGATATGTAGTTGGCTTTTTATAAATCAGGCGTCACATATGTGATTTATTGAAAGGTTATTCATCGTTTTATAACAATAAACAATAAAATATATGTATTTTCATGCTGTAAATCAAAGTCTACTAAAATCAACGAGTACTTGGGTCTAGCGAAATAATCTTGAAATATGAATTTAATGTATTATTGCCTTAGATTATAATATGAATATTTTCTTCTTATTTAATTCATCCGTTTAATGAAGGAAAATAAAAAAGGCCAATTTTTATACGAATATATTTGCCATTTGCAAATATACGTCGAGAGTGCATTATCATATATACAATGAATTATTGAAAGCAAACTATTTTTGTCTATTTAATCTAGGATTACATTATCAATACCTAACGTAATTATACTGTAAATTGGCAATTATTTGTTTATTAATTATCTACCGTTGAGATATATTGATTTCCTTGTTTATACATGTAACTGACAAATAACAAAATAATAATATAAAAAATACTCGCCACCGGTAAGGACTCTTGATGTATAGTAAACATTCTGCATCGCCGCCGTCGAAGCGACGAAAATCGCGACAAGCAGAACTGCCGTCTGCATTGGTTTCATCATTGTTTCGTCCTTAGCACTTCCTTCTAAATAAAAAGAACAAGAATTATGGATAATTTATTATAGATCATCCTTCTCCTTATATATAGCTGCTAACAAAAATTACATTTGCACTTGGATTAGTACGGAAAAAGAAAGCGAAACTTTTTTTTTTCTCTCTTTAATGGTCAATGTAATTGAAAGTAGATAAAGTTGGAACTTTGATTCTCTGACAAGATAATAAATTTAACTAAACACACTTTTATACTTTAATTATAGTTCTAGTAATAATTTCAAGTAGAAATGAGGATGTAAGTTGTCTTGTTTCTTACAATCATTGTACTTCCCAACTCAATAATTAATTCATATTTATATTACGAAACGATAAGGCAAGCATTAAATATATAATATTCGACAAATCGATCAATTAATTAAGATTAATTATGACGGAGATATATAAACTTATTCGGTTGTAGTGAAGGAATAACTGCACTAAAGTGAGCAAATTTGAAATGATTATCAAATGAAAAATAACGTTTAATATAAGAATATATAATTATTCATATTTGTATTAATATACAATCCTAAGATAATTAACAAATCAACATCATGAAAACATTCATTATGAAGTAATTTCCGCATTTCATAATATTATCTAATTAATCATAATATAATCCTGTAAATTCTAAACCAATACTATGGTGTTGATCTTGATGGAAATGATGGATAAATTTGAAATTTATCCGAAACATTGCTTGCTATATATATATATATATAATTATCAATTAAAACGAAAATAAATAACACTCTCAATGTATAATAGAAAATCCAAAATTATCCGTATGTTAGACAAATATTTGTACAAAGATTTCAATGCAGAGATTAATTTCATTGGCTTCAAAATTGAAGAAAAAAAAAACAAATCGTCATTCACGTGCGATATAATTAAATTTTCTTTATTGAACAAGCGGCTCAGCTGCTGGTATAAATAATCTACGAACAAGGAGGCCCCGAAACCTTCAGCAACCAATAACAACATCGGCACGGAAAGAAGCAAAGCAAACGGCGAATCGACATCCATACTCGGAAGGAGGAAGCTCGCGGTCTTACCTTGAGGATTCGCACAGCTCGTGGGAAAAGTCCAACCACGCGCGAGCGGATCACGAGATGAACTGACGGTGGTCGTCTCGGGATCCGCGAAGTTGTAAGGAGGCGAGTCGCGGCTCCACGTGGGACTGTCCCTCTCCCTCCCCGTGTCAGTGGTCCTCTTATCTCAAGCCGGATCGCCCGGGTTCATGGGACCCACGCGCGGCCCTCGGCCAGGCTTTTTCGAAAATTTCCTTCTCGCCGCGACTCGCTTTTGCCAGGGACGTTAGCATTTCCCTCTCTCTCTCTCTCTCTCTCTCTCTCTCTCTCTCTCTCTCTATCTCTCTTTCTCTCTCTCGCTGTCCTCTTAGCCTCGATCTTGTTGGTCTTCTTGGGAAGCGAAAATCAAAGGATTGATAAGGGATCCGGAGAGCTTTTTGTATGGATGCGAATGAAATCGCTAAGCTTATTAAAGGACGGATTTTAGAAATATACGTATAGATTCATTTATAATGATTAACAAATGGTCGGAAGTATTTTTTGCGATGAGAAATTTGTTGGTAATGAATGTCTGAGATACTGCAGAACAGACTGCACACTGCGTTTGGGAAATAAAAATTTACAGTAATAAATACGGTACATTTTCGGCAGATTAAATAATAATGTATAAATAAAGATTTTTGTTCTCTAGTGGCAGGTACGTGCGCTTTAGATATTTACATATTACTTTGCTGTTAAAACGCTAGGTGAGAATAAGATGTAAAATAAGCATAGATTATTAAAGAAATAAAACAAGAAAATAATCCTACATCTAGACTTACAAATATCTATATTTCAGCACAATTTATGTTCGTTCAACGTTAATAATTCAATAAGCGTAAGAATAATCACATCTCCTTTTGTATATAAAAAATATACTTAAAGAAGATTTACGATGAAGCGGTAGGTAAAGGTTATGAGACTTTATGTAAATAATAAAATAAATATAATAATACACGCTATTACATTGTATGCCTATTTCATCAAACGGAAAAAAGAAACTTACTTTTGTTGAAAATTTTCAAATCAAGTAATGATTACTCACTTAAAATAGTACGCAAAGTATGATACAGCATTTTTTACAATAGATTGTGGAGATTGTTAAGGATAAGTTAAGGATAAATCATATATCATAAAGATAAATCATAATATCAATCAATGCTCGTCGACTCAAACATACTTTCTAAATTTCTATTTATTACCTCTATGTTAAACGTTATTTCAAATATCAAGACTCATTCCATATTTCACTTATACATTTCCCTCAATAAAATCTACCCACCTTCCTACAAAGTGTTGTAATCATTTTCTAATCAAAGCATCGGTGATCTCACATAAAACAAACTGACGATCTCTCTGACAGATTATGCCTACCTTTCATTGTTCTCCCTCGAGAGTTTGATCTTGTCCAGACGAAGTATTCATTTCTATTTATCATTATGATTCTTACAGTCTAAATTGCGAAGGTAACCCACACTTTTCCACGCCTAACGCACGCTTTTCATCATTTAACTCCTTATACATACTGCTTATACATGATTTCAATTAACGAATCATTTATCGGTCCTTTATATTTTTTGCAACAAATATATTAGTATCTTATACTACCAAGTACTTATATATTAACAAGGTATCAGAAATTCTTGCGGTATCATACAATTTCCAATTTTCACGTCAATTTATCTTTGATAATAATAATAATAATAATAATAATAATAATAATAATAATAATAATAATAATAATAATAATAATCATCATCATCATAAGTAATAATAATAAAACATAAAAAAAAAAAAAAAAAAAAAATTACAATAAATGTATGATTGGTACGTTAGTTTTAATGTATCCTACACTCATGAACATCGATTTTTAATAAATTCTCCATTAACCGTAAAATTATTGTTCTTTTAATAATGACAATTGTCCTTATTTTAAGGTAATGAAAAATTATTCTATTTTTGGAGAATCGTTTAAGGAGTATTATAATAAAGAAACGAGGCTCGTATTTAATAATAATATCGCCATTAATTAAAGTGATTGGATTACTAATTATTGTTTTAATATAACTGTACACTTCCATCGAATGTAACAAACTTACTGCACATAATTAACATATAATACGGATGTTTTTCACTTATTGTATAATATATACAATATAATCGCATACAATATTATTAAAAAAAAAAAAATTAAATGAAATTCATAACATTGTTTAAATAGCGTTTAATTTTTAATAATTTGTTTTTTTTTTTAATTACAAAAATCAATCGGTCTTTAGTATAAAATTTTTATTCATAACCACTGAATCAATATTTTTAATGTGAACAATTTAACGTGAATAATTAGTTTTTAATATAAAACTTGTTCTTTTATTGAGATGAATGTAGTGTGAAAGAAAAAAGGCAATTGACAACAATAACAGTCGATGAACATTAATAAATAGGATATATTAGCTTTTCCAGGAAAAAAGTTTTGTATATTAAAGAAGACGATTAGTATGAGTAAGTAAAACAAATTGTTCAGCCAAAAATACGATATGGAAATTTTTATAAGATTTTAATATTGGCAAATAATCGGCTTGTACGTTTTTCCTCATAATATCTTAAGAATTTAGTAGCACATTAATTGTATTTGAAAATACTTTGATAAAGGATATTAAGTTTTATCAAATATCGCCAGCTACATAAATTTCGGTAAAATTATTATTATTCTCATAGTTTCTATATTTCATATAAGGAATTGAAATTTAACGAGGCTTTGCATGCAAATATATGAATTTGTTAACATCTCAATCAACATGTTAAAATACAATTATTTAATATGTCTACAGGAAAAAGACTTATTAATAAAGTTCAAAATTCTTAATCGAGCGCATAAATTTACAAGATCGGTCACGAACTATTTAAGAACTTTTTGTATCTTAGAACATAAGAATATCTGATATAAAAATATATATAAAAAAAAAAAAACCTAAGTAATTTGTGATATTTATATTAATTTTTTTTTTTTTTTTTTTTTTTGTTGCAATTATACTAGTTTGTTATTTAAATCATTATCACGAAATACCAATGTAATATATAATCCTTATGGTATTATAATCATTCGTCTTAAGATAAATTAAAATTGAGTTCGTTAAAAAATGATAAAAATTGCGAGTGTAAAAGTTATTCAAAGTTGTAAGTGGAATAAAAAATTTTCTGGGAATAAAATGACGCGACGAAAATTCATTGAAATACAATGAAAGTTATACTTTTTCAAAAATTCACAAATTATAAAATTTCATAAATATTCTGTTTCCATATTCTTTGCAACTCATCATCATCGATCAATAATTTATTATTATTGGATATAGTTGCTCTTACTGTATGTAGTTGATATAGTTGCGCTTAAAGTTTTATTGGGAAACAATTATTTTGAGAGGGGGGGGGGGGGGGGGGGAGAGAAAAAAAATTAGAAGCACAAAAGGCGAAAAAACCTTCTTTAATCGATAGATCAATCTCTTCATCATTCAAGTGTTTGAATCGAATGTTAATGACGTATGAATACCTGAGGTACAACCTGTTATAAGCGTTTCATAAAAAGTTGTTATTTTATACGAAGACTATATCTTATCTCGAGTCGTTTTTTTATGAATACGATATATATATATATATATATATATATATATATATGTATATATATAATATGAGCGAGGAAAAATTCAAGTAAAAATTTTTGCCACTCAAAAACTCGTTTTACGTTCTTAAATGTATATGAAAAGAGAAAACATCTTCTATAGAAAATTTGTACATTTAAAGCATTATTGGTGTTCGCACAGGTATAGAAAAAAAGAAATCTTGTAGAATTTTCTTCTTAGTGGAATACAAGACAGCGTACGATTTCTGTTTCGGTGCTGATGAGGTCATAAATATCTCGAATTGCGAAAGACTGTTTTCTGTACACTTTAAGGTCGGAGTTGAGGTCACTCGTAATGTTATTCGCGCTTCCATATTGGGAATCGTAACCGATCTACCAACAAAAGAATACGTATTTTAATAAAACTACCGATAAACATAAGTGGATCTATCTCGATGAATATTTTCGTAGCAAAATCGCGAATAACACAAATACTAGAGCATACACTAAGGAAATCAATAATTAATTGCACATTTATTATGTCGCGTGTGTAATTAAATGTACATTGTTGTAAATGGAAATGATTGAAGCAACGATCATAAAGTTTTCAGCTAAGCTTATATTGCAGTAATTTAGAAATAAATTTGGTTAGTTAGTAATGAAAAAAGAATAATAATAAATTGAAAACATGATAAATAGGAACGACCACGCAAATCCTTGCGTACCAGACGTATCTTACTATACTACACGACCTTATTCGCGTTTGTCCCTGAAAATGACATAATGCAACCGTATTTTCTTGATATATTTGTCTATACAAAGCAGTGCGCTGCATTGGAAATATTCATTAATACACAAATAAACAATTAGCTTCATTGATTGTGTGCCTTTTAGTATTATTTTATATTGAAATTTTTTTTTTTTTTTTTTTTTTTTTTTTTTTTTTTTTTTTTTTTTAGAAAACTTTAATATGTAGGATATAAAGGTAAAATTATTATTAGGCTCTAGGTAATTATCCATATTACAAAATGTCAAATATTTTTAGTAAATTTACATAAATAAATACAATATTTTAAATTAGATAGAAAAAAAAAAAAGAAATCTGTGGAAAATGTAACTTTTATATTACAAATTTGATTATTAATCGTAATATTCATTTATTAATCTTTTAAATATCATTTTAATAACTTAATAATGGTTTCTCATTATTCTGAAGAAAAACTACATAATTTTCAAGTTTATAATTTTTATGTTAAGTCATGATGATCAACAAATATAGTGAATCTCAATAAAATAAATTTGTTTGGTTTGATTTTTTAGAGTTGTAATTAAACACTTTTTTACTTACAAAATATAATGTAAATTTATCTTTCGACTGTATTGCAAGTCAATATATAGAAATACTTGTGCTTTCAATGAGGTATATTAAACAAAATTTCAAAATGTGTTTAAGAAGTGTAAATTTCTTTAATTACATAATACTATTTAAAGTTTATGTAAAAGTGAGTATTGAGATATTATACATAAAACTTTTATGCACATTATAAACATTTAACACTATTATTATTATTATTATTTATTTATTTTTTTTGTTTGTTTGTTTGTTTGTTTTGCTCTGTAGATTATACAGACAAATTAAAAATACCTTACTCTAAGTATAATTTATTCTATGCTATTATATTTATCTACGATCCACCAAATATAATGTATATTTTGTACATGTTAGATTTTTGTTCCTTTGATTTACACAGTAAATTAAAAAATGCTCGATTTGTGTTAACAAAAAACGATTTGCTTTTTAACGAATTGAAATGAAATATATTCAAATATTGGACAGGATGATAATTGTAAAGAGCATCCGGAATAACATCATATTCTTAATGCTCCGCATAATTTCTCATCTGTACATTTTTTTGGTTTGTTTTATTATTATTTTGGGAAAATTTTAAAAATTCTTCAAATGCTTCTGCTATCATATCATCTTCATCGTCGTTGTCCCAGAATTCTTGAGAACTATAATAACAAAACATTTTCGAACAGAACATTTTTCGAATTTATTATAAAAAGTCTTAGTCGATACTAACCCAACTTCTGTCTCTGCCAAATCGTCGAGAAACCTACTTTCTTCATCCGTTATGACTTTACCATCCGGGCCATAAAATATTGCCTCGTTATCTACTTGAGAACTTGAAGATTGTTTGTTTTCAATGTGCAGAGGCATATGGGATGAAATAACGCCCCAATTTCCACTTCTTAATTCACTTACAGTATTCACCATTCTACCAACGTGTGAATCCACTCTACCTTGAATGACTAGGTCTGACAGCGTACGCATTACTTGCTCCATTTCTGTTCGATTCCCACTACTGTCTCGCTCTAAAGTTTGGCCTGCCAACTACAATGGTACAATGAGAACTAAGCCTTGCCTAAATAGATACGAAGGATAAATAATAACTTTTGATATACCCGTTACCTTTAAAGCCTGACAAATATTTTTAGCCGAACTGGAAGCTGGATTCTGTAAGACAGTATTTATTAATCGAATCAGAAGCTTTCCTAATTCTGAAGCTGGCGCGGATTCCATTTGAGTGACTAGCTCAGCTAGGAAAAATATTAAGCCATGGCACTTTTTCTCTATTTCGTCGGTGTGTTTTGTGACTTGTCGCCAAGTTTCCGCTTGCTCATCAGTCTTTTGTTTACATCTACAAAATATTAATACAATACGTATTTAACCATATAATATTCTGCTATATTCTCTAGATCGTTATCTCAATCATTCAAGAATAATACTAACTGATTAATTAATGTTTCCTTGAAAATCGATGTGGGTCTGTCTGCTGCTGGTGCTACGGTGTCAAGATGCGTACAGAGTCTGGCACCGCTATATCGAAAATTTCCCTCGTCGATTGACTAAAATTAATCAAACAATTGTAATAAATATAGAACTAAGCAATTAGATTATACAAACTTTTTGATCAACCTTACTTTAAAACTCAGATTTTTCCTTTTACATAAACTTTCTCATCGTTCAAAGATGAAGGTTAAGGAGACTTAAGCAGAGTTTTTAAAAATAATAAAGCGTTTAAATTGAAAAAGAGAGAGTTGATTGACCGAGCCTTAATTCCAATCTATTATTATTATGATTTTATCGATTTTAATGTCAGTAATAAATTATCTTAAGTGACTTGGGACCTCAAAGTTTCTTTCAGTTTTCAAAAGTTGTAAAATATGAAATAAAACAAAATAATTAATGTCTTATTGCGAATAATCATAAAAATAATTAATGTTATTATACATAATCTTTCTTGTACAATGTAAAATAGGATACACAGTTTGATTTTAGCATTAGCAAAACCTACTATATCAAACTTATTTCGCATTCATAATTCATTGGTACTAACTTTTTAATTGACAATTATGGTTTATAAATTATATCGTACGAGATGTAGATATAGTCGAACGATAAGTATTATTGGTAATATCTACCTGCTGAATGATGGCATTAAAGATTTGCTCGCAATGTCTAGGCTGATCGAGATATGGACTAATGGTATCTACCAAGGGTGCAACTAAGGAGTCAAACCTTCCAGGATTTGTCGTTAAAGTTCTCATAGCATTTTCCAATTGCATTAAAGTACTGTTAAAATCCAGAATTTGCCCATCCTCCTAATTTATTATTAATTAAAGTTAAAATTATAATTATTTAAAGTATTTTTATATAGAATAATTTATTTGATGTATAATTTGCGCACTTGATGTTTATCGGCAAAATCTCCAGAGCCTCCATCAAACTGACTATAATCGTGTATGATAGGATACTGATTGTACTGCTGATACGGCAGTCCATGGTATCCCGTTTCAGAAGACTGTTGTTGAAAGTGTTGAGGAGCTCCAGATTGTTGCCAATTATATTGCTGCTGTTGCCTTTGAAGCATAGCTTGCTGAACATTTTGAGCCTGCCTCGCTATATGTATGCGATCCTGAACCGAACTTCGTGATACAGGACCCGACTGCAATTACAGTTATTCCAAAGTTAACGATCGACACTTAACAAAATTAATCAATAGAGAAACGATATACTTACTGGAACAAATGCTTTTGGTACAAATTCTGCAGCATCAACGGATAGAATGGAATTTTTCACAATGTCGCTCACAGTTCCTGTAATATGCAAATCATTTAATGCCATCGCAATATTTCATCTTAATCGTAGCTTCGTACCCGGTGTATATAAAATATTTATCTCATAATAAGCATAGGCGAGTGTTAATGTTCTTCGCTTTCAAATCAAATAGCCCTGTTAAAATCTTGCCTTATCGTTTGACTTCGATATTACAATTAACTACGTACATTATTAAAAAGTGCTGGCATATATAATGTTCGCGCATTGCTAAAATCCCGTTATAAAAAGTTTCAATTCCTCATACGAATAATCAATCGTACATTACAACGTTTGCATAACTTCTCCCAGGGCGAATATATTATTTCGCTTAAAAATGACGATTTTAAAGGGTCTTGCAGTAGCAGGGCTGCATCGTCCGTAAAGTTTTAAGAATATTTTTTCATTTATTATTCAAAATAGATTGAACATCGTTGTCGAAGCCGAGGATAACCAATCCCATAGCAGCAGCGACAACGTGAAAAAGAAATTAAATTATAATTCAGACTGCGTTATTTCTCTAATTAAAAATAGGAGAATCGGCCGATGATCGACCTTAACCAAACCTAGGGCTTGATGAGGCCTACGAAGAAGTTCCTGCTCCACGGATCTAACGCCTCGTCCACGTCCTTTGCTCATCCATCGCTCGGTCTCGGCCTCGCCGTTGCCGCTGGCCTCCGCATTACCGTAATGCTCCATATTGTATGGCTCTTTTATAATTCACGAGCCGAATACAAATGCTCCCGTACTGACTCGGGAAATTAGGTTAAGCGCCGACACCGTGGACGACACTTGAACCTCTTGCACCGTTCTCTTGTCGTGGGGAAAGTGCGCACGTCGCACCCTCGACATAGATCGGATAGTCTCCTGTTCTTCTCGGCCGATTCGAATTCTCATTAACCTTTCGTGAAAACTTCTTCCTATTCCTCGGTCACCTCGCACTAAATACACACCGCTCTGGCCACCTCTATGTGTCAACGCTGTCGATACATCCGACAGCATTCACAATGTTGGCATGTGTATGTTTGCGGCTGCGTCGTTAATGTCAATCGGCTTGCCTTAACCATCCTGGTGGCGGTAGTGCTCGCCACAGTCCGACCCCGTCGTCTCGGCCCCGTCTGCATCGTCATTCGCGATTTCTGCACTCGCGCGCTCTCGGGAGCAATGGACTTCCCGCTCAATCTTTCGTATGTAATGATCATCCTTATATGCAAATTCTTCATCGAATTTCAACTAATCTATGCAACAATAATACCTCGAATTCGCGCGACCTCTTTCTTTCTACACTTTTCTTCTACATCAAGCTCACTGCCGTGAAAGCTAACGATCGTCTTACAAACTTTCGCAAATTCGGCAATATTGTAATTTGTCATTTGTAATTTTTAATGCTCCTAGTTTAACGCAACTAATTCGTCTTACCCACTCACACTCGTTTAAAACGCACTTCTTCATTTTGATGTTTGAGTACTTACTTTTATAAGGTTTTACAAGGTTTGGGCTATTTGCTCGTTTGTTTTGATAATAACAGTGAGAGGGCCAAGTGCCTACCGACACTCCACAAACTGTCATTGGCATTTATGCACTTTTATATTATTGTACTTTCGATAAATTCATATATATCTCTCTCTATCTCTCTCTCTATCTCTCTCTATCTCTCTCTTTATCTCTCTTTATCTCTCTTTATCTCTATCTCTCTATCTCTATCTCTATCTCTATCTCTCTCGTTACATTGTTGCGGAGGTTGTTAGACGCTGCGTTTGTTACCGTAGCCCAATAATTAATCATACGCGCAAGACTTTAAGATGTAACGGCGAAACTCTGCGTAAACAATTATAAGCTCGTTTATTTATTTAATGGAGCGCCTAGTCGGTATTGTTTAAACATTAAGATCCCACTTAAGTCAAATGTCTGCATTATCGATTGAGATTTTCAGAATAGCCCATCTCGTGCAATACATTCATTGGCAGTGATGCCACAGTGATGCTGCGTAATGTCGGAATTTCCCGACTGCTTCTGTCAGAGTCAGAGACTTTCGATCATCGGGGCCACGCTGTTGTTAAATTCATTATCGTTAACATGTTCACTGGGAGCTTTTGCAACATTCCTGCCTCCTGAAAAGCTTGGCATTCGATCCTGAGGTTTGTACCAGAATCGCCAAGTAATGGGGGAAAAAAAAAAGAGAGAGAAAAAATGCAAAATGCTTTCTCCAATTTCACGTACGCTAGATATATAAAATGAAATCATTTATCATTATAACATACTTCTATGCTGTATCCATACGTTTCTAAAAAGTTATTTAACATACTTACAGCTTGTTAATGGACTCTGAATAATGATTTGGAGGAGCCTTGTAGAAGGGACCGTTTATCCCTTTGATGCATCGATGAGTCATCAGTGATATGTGAAAAGTCGACGAGCGAGCGCGGGAAAAGGCCAAAAGATGCTGGAAGTTGGCCTCAGGGTTGTGAGAGGCGTCGATTGGAAGTGGGCCGACCAGGATGGTGGCGAAGGCCATACCGGTACCGTCGTTGAAATTGGGAAGCCACCCTGCGCTGGTTACACGGCTCACAACAGTAATCACGTTGACAAAACACCGGATAAAACTGTCATTGTTCAATGGGACCACGGCTCTAGGAGCAATTATCGCATTGGGTATCAAGATGCGTACGACTTGATGGTTTTTGATAACGCCGGGGTGGGCGTCAAGCACTCTAATATCATCTGCGATGACTGTAAAATGCATGGAATTATTGGCATAAGATGGAAATGTTCGCAATGCTTTGATTATGATTTATGTACCCAGTGTTACATGTCAGACGTACACGATTTGAATCATGCCTTTCAAAGATTTTTAACTGCAAATTCAGTGGGGTAAGCAGAGACATTGGTAAACAATTACTAGTTTTATTGCTAAACTAAAGATTCATTATTCGATGTCTCGTTCATTTTATGTACTGATATGTTGAAAAATTGCAATTGTAATAAGCTTTTATTAATGCCGACGTATCTAAAACGATGCAAAGTAAATTAATAATACATTATAATTTATTATAGCATTACGAGTGTTTAGTAATTTCCAACCTATAGAAAGTTCTTTAAATCCTTTTAAATGTCGTATCTATTGAAAATATATTTTCATATTCTTTACAGAATACAATTAACGAACAGAGAAAATTGTACAAAGATAGCGTTGAAGGGAATTTTTATTGGAGCCAAAGTTACCAGAGGACCCGACTGGGAATGGGGAAACCAGGATGGTGGCAGAGGGAAAACAGGCAGGGTTATCGACATACGTGGTTGGGACAATGAAAGCTGTCGATCCGTAGCTACAGTAACATGGTCATCCGGTAATACCAATGTTTACCGATTAGGTTATAAAGGTTGCGTTGATCTGTGTTACGTCGAAGCAGCCACCGCTGGTACATATTATAAAGAGCACTTACCCTTACTGGGACATACGACACCGATAATGCCACAAAATGAAAACGTTCCTTTAAACTCGACAAATATATTGAATCCCCCGAATTTTAGTCACACAACTTTTGTAGTTGGAGACAAAGTAAAAGTTTTAATGGACATTGATACATTAAAAGGAATGCAGGCAGGTCACGGTGGATGGAATCCACGAATGGCCGATTACATTGGAAAGGTAAAATTTTAATCCAAGTATCGAGCATAAGACTTTGTAATTATAAGCTTAACATTGTGGAACTTAATAATTTAATAATAATTCGATAAGTAATAATGAGTCGTTTACATAAAATCGATATTTTGTCGTCGATATTTAAAATATTACTATTTTGTATATGGTATTTTAAGAGCAAAGCTTGAAGGAAAACTTTAAAATTACAGTCTCATTTAGAAAGCGTAAAATTCAAGATAATATTTATATAAAGAATTTGTTGCTAATATTTTAGAAACTTTGATGAATGTTGTAGATCGGTACCGTACATCGAATTACCGACAAAGGCGATGTTCGGGTTCAGTACGAAGCATGTAATAACAGATGGACGTTTCATCCCGGGGCATTAACGAAAGTTATTAGTAAAGAAAATTTTGTCATTGGAGATATCGTTAGGATAAAATCAGACGCAAATGCAGTGAAGCATTATCAAAGGGGCCACGGGGAATGGATAGATGTAATGAGAACGGTGAGTAAGACTGAATTTTTCAACCGATGTCTCGCATTTTTCAATTATAATGCCCCTTTCGATGCATCGATGATCATTCAGGCTCTGGGTAAAAGTGGCAAAGTCATTAAAATCTATCCGGACGGTGACATGCGAGTGCAACTAGGAGGCCACATATGGACGTTCAATCCATTGAGCGTAACGTTGGTTCCAGCTGGCTCCGAAGCTGCAAATACCTTCACCGAAGCGTCCCGAGGTAAGAATCGCGAAACCATTTAAAAATAGCGTGCCCTAATAGATGTGAAACGAACCTCGAATCTTGTCAGGTATAACGCTCGAGAGCACGGACGTTGAGGTAGAGAAACTACTACGCGACGCGGCCAAGGGCAAAGCTGGCATCCCCGCTGTCAAGGAATTTTTGCGAAAGTATCCTGACAGAGTAGACGCAAGGGGCGGTCCGGGTGGCGGTCGAAAAACTTGTCTCCAGGTCGCCGCTCACCAAGGACAGCGGGAGCTCTGCTGCCTCCTGCTAGACGCTGGCGCCTCGCTGTTCGCCGTTGACGAGGACGGCGACACTCCCCTCCATTACGCAGCCTTTGGGTAATGAAAATTGATATGTGCTTGACCCGCAATCGCGAGCCTTAGTTACATTTTGCGAAATGGAAAATAAATATAATGAGCGACCAAGATTCCCTTCGAATCATTGCTTTGCGTTCTTACAATTATCGTAATTTATTATTATATGGATTTTTTTTCTCTTTTGCTTACTGCAAATAAACCGCAACTTTCACTAATGTTTTTCACTCGATTGATTTTCTCGATTTGTCATTATTATACACAATTTGACGAATACGTAGAGTTTTTAAATTTTATTCATTCGATTATAAATTTACTCGCTATAACTATGTACTACGTGGAAGATATCTTTTAAAATATTATAATTAGTATATAATTAACGACTTGGAATGCAAAATAAAATAAAAAAAAATTTTCATAACTTTTTTTTTTTTTTAAATCTGCCTTAAATTTTATTATAAAAAATACCATGCATTTTACAATAAGTCTACAAAAAAATATCAGACTTTCAGATCATATTAGTTATTTATTAGTATAAAAGATTTCAAGCAATTTAAAAAAGTGCAGAGCTTAATTACCGTCGACAAATTGTCGATGGAGGGACTCGTTTCACGGCCCAACCGAATTTGCAAAGAATATTTGAAGTCCGCGTTAATTTCTCAAGAAGATAAAAATCCAATGGTAGACCAAGAATATTCATCCTCATTGTTCAATAATTTTAATTCTTTATGGTACCGGTACCACGGCCCCCATAAAAGCGAGGCCTTGCCGTCCAAGTGCAATCCAACTGCAGTTAATATGAAATTAACGATTGCAAAGAAAGCAGTCGAGCCAATCGTTTGCTAATTCTCGTACATTGATTTCGGCCATTCAGCAATCAGCCGGAGATAATGGAGCTCCTGCTGACCCGAGGTGCGACCATCGACGCGGTGAACAATGGCAAATGCAGCGCCCTTCACGTGGCCGTCAACAAGCAGCACTCGGAATGCGTGCGTACACTCCTGCGTCATGGCTGCAACGTCAACCTCCAGGACTCGTACGGCGACACGACCCTCCACGACGCAATCGGCAAGGACGCCCTCGATATCGTCGATGCCCTCTGTGCTAACGAGATCCTCGACTTCACGCTGCGCAACAAACGTGGCTTCAACGTCCTTCATCACGCGGCCCTCAAGGGCAACGCACAGTGAGTTGCAATTGTCCTGCGATAAATTGCACTTAAAGTTTAAATCTTTTATCTAATGAGAAGTCGGCGCTAATATCGATGACAGTGCATCACGTGATTTATTAGCGAGCAATAATCATCGCGTTATCGATCACTTGCCTCTAGCCCATGGCTTAAATAAACACTGCGTATAAAAGTTTTCAGTGCACGTACTATATATATATATATATATATATATATATATTATTGTTAAATGTTTAAGTGTTAAGTCACTTTAGAGCTTTCACTTTTTTTTTTTTTTTTTTATTGTAATTATCGCCTCGGCTTATGTGTACTATATTATTGCAATGAGATTGCGCGTGAACATTCGAAGGTCATACGAATTGCTGGTCCCATGCTCTTCTGCATTGACCTTTACTTCATTGATATTGCAATATTATGTCAATCATTTATTGCTTCCTTTTAGATAAATCATTAACAAAATATCAATCCATTTGACAATTTTGATCTTACGCCTTACCCATACTCTTTCAACACTTTTATTTACCATTGTTTCAGATTTTACAGTGTCAAAAAAGTTATTTTAATGTCCATATGTACAATTGGTAATTATCCAAGTCAATGTCAATGTCAATAAGACTTAGAAAGTAACATTGATCAAATTTTATCGTACGATTGTATGAATTGGGCTGAAAAATAATAATATTAAAATCATTATTATTCTATAATTCCACAGATTTCTCTGAGAAATAATAGAATGAGAGAGACAGATTTCTCTGTGAAATAATAGAATTGCATTGAAAAAAATTATCAGCAATTGTATAAATGCCATCGATTAATTAAACATAAATTTCGTTGCTACTTGAATTTATCGAAGCATTTTATGTACGTAGGAAGTAGGAAATTACAATAAAAAGTTATCCATACGGACTGTAAAAATGTTGCGTTTATTCAAAAGAAAAAGCTGTCTTGATGTCTAAATAATTAAAAGAGTTGTTAAGTAAGTGTGCGTCGTTGTTGAATTGTTGAAGTAAGGAATACTATGAGGCGCACGATGTTGCATAAATAGCCAAGACATTGGTCAAGAAAAAGCTTCTTAAAAGGGCCAAATATATTGAATAATGAAAAGCCCTTGGAAGCAATTTTTCCTCGCAATTTTTCCTCGCAAATTTTCCTCGTGCGCGTCCCTTGCATTTCATTTCATTTCATCAAGCTCCATTTCATTTAACAGCGCGATGCAACGGTTGGTACTACGAGCCCGTCATCTCGTAGATGTCAAGAAAGAGGACGGCTTCGCGGCACTACACCTGGCATCGCTCAACGGGCACCGGGAGGTTGCCGCGACGCTATTGCTGCCGAGCGGCGGTCGGGCTCGAGTCGATCTGCAAAACAACCGCCGACAGACGCCCCTGCATTTAGCCGCCTCGCAGGGCCATTGGGGTCTCGTCGAGCTTCTTGTTGGGCACAACGCGGACATCGCGAGCACCGACGAAGAGGGCGACACCGCGCTCCACATCGCCGTAACCAAATGCAGATATCAGGCTATCGGCGCCGCGCCACCCGATGCGCATCGCGACTCACCTTCCTTATACTCGGTAAGACTTATCCTCGCTAAGTAGCCTCGCTGTCACACGTATCGCCAATTCTTCCAAGTCCAGCACAGCCATTGAAAGAGACTAAACAGGGTTTTGCATAAAATCATAATCTCTTACGTTACATTAATGTATATATATATATATGTCTTGGCATGGGAATTCACTTCTACGTGATGAATGAATTTGCTTTTAGGACATTTAGATGATATAGCAGCGATATCATAACGTCGAATATTTATTTATATTAGATAGTGGCAAATTCGTTTATACATTCTGATGGTAAAAATAAATATAAATTTTTGCCTCGTCTTATTTTTAGTCAAAACTATTTACCTACGCACATCACACTTACTTCTAGCCCAAATCTAATTGGCCAAAATATTATTCAAAACCTGTGTATACGTGCGTGCGTGTTAATCTTACTAACGAATCCCTTCGATATCGCAGATGTGGCAGGAGTTGAATAGGAAAGGGACCAAACCCGAGCTGACTTTGGTGTGCTTCTTGGTCAGCAATGATAGTAGCGGCTCGATTCTCGAGGAGCTGAAGAACTCCAAGGGCAAAACACCCCTGGATCTCTTGCAGGCGGACGCGGAGCTGGCGCCGTTCGTCGAGATCGTCAAGTCTTGCCAGGACCGACGCAGGACCGTCGCGAACCTACCGACCGTTGATAATGTCCAGGCATCGGTATGCCAGATCGAGACGATCGCGCAAGCCGACTCTAACGGCGATGTATCCGCGAGGAAACCATCGACGTGCACCAACTGCCATCGACAAGGCTCCCCCAACACCGAGGGTGTGGCGAACAGACTTGGACTCGGGAGCAGCGTCGGTGTCAGCAACTGCACGCACTGCGGCTGCACGTTCACCAAGTCACACACGTATCACGGTGAGACGAGCCTCTGGTATTAATGCACATAAATGCCATAACGCGAATCCCGTGACGTAATCGCAATAAAAATCCATGGGCTAACTATTTATGCATTGAGAAAATATTATTTGCATTTTATACTTCATCAGATGTCTCATTGATTTATCAATAAACGAATTATTATCGCGGACTTCCCGTACCACGTACGAGTAAATTCAACAAAAAGGAAACAAAGAGAGAGAGAGAGAGAGAGAGAGAGAGAGAGAGCGAGAGAAAGAGAAAGAGAGAGATAAAGAACTTTTCATTCGCTGGCTTAACGCTTTAAAATATTAAGTATTTTCGAGCTCGATCGTAGCGATGTATCGTCAAGCGAAAAATATAATATCATGGAGGTAAGGCGAGCGCGTTAAACTCATTTTCTCTTTTGACGTTTTAGATTCACAGTTGAATCGAGAAGAGCTGGCGAAGGAAGTTAAACGAGAGAAGATGAAGAATGGCTATTCTGATAAAAATAGGAACGACAATAGAGAAAAAGACAAAGACTTAGAAAGATTAAGATATCTTGAAACAAGAATAGCCGATCTCGAGGAAGCAAATATGTGTAGTATTTGCATGGAGCGTCGACGTAACGTTGCGTTCCTCTGCGGTCATGGTGCTTGTGAACACTGTGCAGCCCCGTTGAAAACGTGCCACATGTGTCGTCAGACCATTACCAAAAAAATCAATTTATACTAAAGGTAAAAGCTTGGAGAAGAGACCAAGAAAGATGGAGGCTCTCTTTAGGGCTACAAACTAATTCGAAGCATTAGGTTTTTATTTATTGAATACTGTCGTTTTATTAAAAGAAAATGAAGTAGAACAAATTTTTTTTTGTCGAATTTTTCGAAGAAGGTTGATCATGATTTCCTCGCTGCTTCACTCACGACTCGCCGCGACACATTAGACAAATTTTTAATCTTAATCAATAATACGTGAGCTCGCGCGCGCGCGCACGCACGTGAGTGCGAGGTATATCGCACTAGTCACCCGGGCATGGTGTAATTTTATGTAAATACATCTCATTAGCACATTCGAGCAATAAATTAACAGTGAGCTTCGATTCGTTTGGCGAATACATGTGCAATTCGTCGACCAATTCGACCAAAAATCGTATTTGTCGATTAATGTTTGATGAACGTGGAGTAAGACCCCCCGACCACCGCTATCATTCTCTTGAATGTGGAAAAACCGCTCGATTACATTACGACACGACGTACATTCGACACGTTAACGTCCATCGTTAAAGAAGATGGTTGTAATATTGGCTCGGGTACTATTGTATGTATGTAACCCTTTGGCATGGTAACGCCACTCTATAATGGGGTTGCGTTGATTTTAATGTCAGAATTATCCGATGGTCCACCAATTTCAAAATTCCATCGTCATTGTCGCACCCGAGCTATTCGCTAAATCTCAAATTAGTTAATTATTCGCCTTAGTATCAGACGACAAGCCTCGAAGGTACAACGCAAGGCGTGGATATCATTTCGTAGTAGTAGTGGAAATCTGTGGGAATGAAGACTGCTGAAACAGCCAATAAACCTAGCTGTACTCTTAACGATCACAGACTAAAACGAGAACCTCCGCCATGCTCGCTCATATCCTACCACCAAGAGGTCGTTAAATACGCCACAAAAAGCTCTCAATTGCAAATTGTGTATACGCGTAACGATCGGTCGGACTAGCGCGGGCATCGTAGTTAGTTTTATATCGGATTTAGCAATGTATCATTAGACGGTCGTAAATTTTTGGAACAAAGGACTGGAATTTTATAAGATAATAGATTTTTCGACGTTGCAAGTGTGAGGGGATATTGCTAGGTATAAAGAGTTGAAGGGGACGGAGAGAAAATTTAATCATTGCTTTTGCTTCTCCAAGTATTCGTAGAAAATTCTTCATCGTGAGAAACGATGAATACCATTGTGCGTAAATATTTTTAAAACGATTTAGTTAATCGGCAATACTGAAATTATAATTGTTGGAATAATTTATTATTTTCAGTGACCATTGTGGTTCTACTTAAGATTAAAAGTTATTTGTGACTATCGCGGCTTACCACTTATTTAATAAATTTCACTGCACAAGTAGTAATAATGTTGCTCTTTACGTCATATTTAATTATCATACTTAAATAATAAAAAGAGAATTTCTTATGCCGCCGATCAATAGAAGACATTCCCTTTGCATTCGTTTGATTTAGGAATAATGTTAATTCCTCTTCCACAAATGGTTTTCAATAAGAAGAAAATGTGATTCAATCGAACATTCGTGATAAAAACATATTTCATTCAGCAGCTTTAGTAGTTAATATTCCTAGTTAAATGAATTATTTATTTTTTAATTTTCGTCCCATTATTAATCATCCTTAAAAAAATATATTGAACATTTTTTTATTGCCTCGTGTCCATTTTTGTCTCCTTTGATTATACCAGATTTAATTGCGTGATAGTTAAATATCTCTCTCTTATCTGTCAAATATTATTACAATATAATCAAATGAAAAAAAAAATTTATATATATATGAGTTTGGGTGGGCGTGTGTGTTTACCTGTGTGTATGTGAAAAGGAATTGTATGGATAGTTTTGGTATCTTATAAAATAATTCGGGATTAACTTAGAATTTGCCTCCATCAATGCCAAATCATCGTAAGGGAATGAACTCATGTCAGGTCTTCATCTTTACAATAATATAATCATATAGAATAAATAAAGCGTGTCTATCATTTGTAAATAATGTGTAATGAATATTGTAAATCATGGCAACAGGGTCTGTGCATTTTCATCAATATGTTCCACGTGAACATTTTACTTTTATTTTTTGTCATTTTATACAAGTCGAGACGAGATCGTATTTGATACTTTTTGTAGCGATCTCTGAAAAATTTTAGTGACATCGACTCTCACCGAACTACAACCTCGAGAAGTTTGCAAATGTTCGTGCCATTAACGAATATCGTAATTGCGTAAACTTCTCATCTTATCAGCCAATGCTTTTAGTGCTAATGAATTTTATACCGAAAGAAAAACATTAACTTAAGTTTATGATTGTATTTAGAATTTCAATGGTGCAGTCACAACAGTAGTCAATAAATAAAAACTATAATGGAGTTGTGAACGCCCTTTTATGATCTGCAAAATAGGGAATTTTATCGAAGATCTCCGTCGTTTGCATCCCCTGCACGTGAAATATTAACTGCCAAAAACAAAACAAAACAATAAACAAAAAAGACAATTGTAATATTCAATTATTAAAATTGCTGTTTTTTACTAATGTATATCACTGAAAAGTCTGAAGATTTTTTTTATCGTATCTGTGTACCATATCGTGCCATAATAACAAATTTAGAAAATTTTAAAAATCGAAAATTTTTACAATAAACGAACTGGAGCACTTTTCTATTATCGCGTGTCCCGTCCATTTCTTCGCGCCTCCAAATCGTACATATATGCCTTTAATACCTGATCCTCGTTTCCGTCAGTGGTTCCAGCTAAGGACTTACTTCTTCGGCGATTCCCCTTGGTTACGTTCCTCTTTCATTTCATTTGTGCGCATTTAAGCATGTGAGAATGGATTTTACTATTGACTCGCCATGTTGGACATTTTTTTGAATGATTATAAATCCCATTCCAAAGGTATTGAGAAAATCTTTGGAATGACAGAATGACAGTGAAGAAAAACAAGTTTTTCTAAAGTACTTGTACCATTTCATAGTGTATTCTTTATTAATTTTCATTTTTATATTCTTTTTTTTTCTTTTGTATTTCACTGCTTCGTTTATTGTACATTATTTGTAAATATTTTATCTCAAATTTATATTTGAAATTATACTTTATAGTGATATCACTTAATTATTATTTTAGAAAGTTACGGGGATGATTATTATGCATATATACTAGTTGTTTTTAAACAATTTAATGGACCGTATTGTGTATTAATTTAAATTATAATGTGAAAAAGAATGCTTTACGGTTCATTTTAGTGCAATCTATTGTTTTACTGACCAGTACGTATTTAAAATAAAATTACAATGCCAATTTTTTGATACTTTGTACATTTAACCCAAGTCCAATATAATCTGGAAACACACCCAGGATCCCATTGGGGTTCATCACGATACTTTTTCTATTGTTCATATTTATGTTTTTGATTTTTTTTTTATTTTGATTTTTTTTTTTTTACTTTTGTTCCACTTTTCGTAATTATAATTGTATTGTCATAAGTCTGTACTGCGTGTACTACAGGAATAAATTATATTATGAAACTGTAATAGCGCATTTTAAAGCATTGATGAGTTTGTACGATTGTATGTAACATAAATGGTAATTTAAATAAATTCAAATCAATTAATGGTGTCTGTTTCCCTCTTTTTTCTTTTAAGTCTTTTTTTTTTTTTTTTTTTTTTTTTTTTTTTTTTTTTTTTTTTTTTTAATCAATTTCCTTAAGCCAATGAAACGTGTCATGAAATCGCTTCAACACATCGAGAATCTCTTGCTCGTTGAGAATTAAAAGAAAAACGTAAAATAGTAAATGTATTATGCAAGAGATCACGCGAAAGATACTCGTTTATTATAATTTGATAATAGTAACAACAATGATAACACAAGCACATAACATATAACGCCGTGTCCGTGTGATGTTTATACGACAAGTAAGAATAAAATCGCGGTAAGATTATACCTTGACTTAGCAAGCAGTTCTTATTTATTTTGGTACTTAATAATGTTCGAACTATTCGTATGTTACAATATTGAGGCAGTTTGCAAAACTGCAATGATAATAGTAATAGTAATAATAATAATAATAATAATAGTAATTGCAATAATAATAATAATAATTGCAATAATAATAATAAGAAGAAGAAGAAGAAGAAGAAGAATTCATCTAAGCAAAACCTAAACCTAACACTAGAAAGTGATGTAGTATTTATTACCTATTAAACATAAATGATCTCTGTTCGGCACGTGGGGCCAATTCAGTGGATTATTCATCTAAAATCTACTTAACAGGACCAAAATCAGGATATGCGCAAAGCCGTGTCTCGAATCTTAACGAGCTGCTATAATTCACTGTCAACAGTGAAGCGCCAACAATATGAACCTTCATTTTGTCTCTGTCAAACCGCCGCAATGTTCGAGACTCGACCGTGCCCATCGTATCCTTCATCTCGCCTCGGCCATCGCCAAATGATCTACTTTATTTGTAATTAAAAAATAAAAAATAAAAAAAAATATATATATATATATATATATATATATATATATATATATAAAAAATATAATAATAATAATAATAATAATAATAATAATAAAAAATAAAATTAAAAAACGCTCGGTGCTTCACAGAGCAGATTGACAATACAGAAGGACGTTGGGACTCGCGCCGAGCCTTTTACCGCTTTATCTTCTCAATCACTTTCGATTTTAGCGGATAAAGCAAACATTATCACTGACACTCAACAAAAATAAACTCGTATAAAATTTATCACTACGTATATTCATTGATCTGCCTTCTTATCCTGCCACGCTCCCATTACGTTTAAACGAGACGTCGTGGGCGACTTTGCTTATGTGCACAAGACTCTCCTCCACGATAATTCGTAACTCTAAGCGATATGGTGTCGGGGAGTCCGAGTGCCGCGCAATCGCTATTAATTATCTAAGTGGCTCTTCTCCATTCATTAACCATACAAAATTAAACGAGCACTGCATGTCCTTTAAAGGCTATATTGGCAGAAGTATTGCAGTGGGTGCGACGCAATAAGGAAGTGCGACTCAATAGGGGAGCAATAGGACCGCGGCGATAGCACCGATAATCTCTCGAGGCTTATACGCGCGAGGGCTCGACTCTCATAATTGTCGTTACGTTCATTGGTTGCGTCGCCGATGGTCCAGCCGAGCTCGCCAAAGGACAATCGATCGGCCATATATATATATATATATATATATATATAATAAACCAATGTCGAGCTTCCGTTAGAACTTGGCCCGACTACTCGTCCAAGCTGCGCTTTCTCTTAAGCATCGTCGTAAGCGACGAGGGCGAATTCGTGCGACGAAAGGCAGTGAAACAGCATGCGTGGAAGCGAAAGCCAAAACTACCGTGTGTGACAGCCGATAAAGATGCGACCTGTCCCAAACGCGCCCGTGCGCTCATTAATTTTCCATTGTTCGGTCCTTTAGGCGAGTGTGGTAAGTTTCATATTAACGTCCCATTGTAAAGTGCGTATAAAACTATTATTACCCGGGGGATTTTTATTAGCTTGTGAATTGCGAACGCGTTGACCTTTCACGTGACGTAGGTCGCTCGCTACTATAATTCACGCCCGATGGGCGACTCCAATCTCAATGAGAATCACGCGAAACTTCTTTGCGTCGCGCTCAGGTGCCATATTGCTGCCATCGGACTAGGATGCGGTTAGCATAAACCGAGCATTGATTAAATATTGTTAAATAACTATCAAACCCGTGGCAGTTACAATTATGGCTCAAGGCAATGTTAAGGCGCGCAATTTTCTTTGATAAGCTAGTCGCCAGAGCCAAGTAAATTAATTATTGAACGAACGAAGCTTCATCGATCAACCATGAACACATACACGTACATTGCATTCGAGTCTACCCGGCCGATCCATCGATTCTCCCTCAACAAGCACGAGCCTTTGCACCATATACAAACATCATCTACGCTATAATGGGGCTCGCATTAACAGGACGATGTCTCTCATTCGAGGAGTTGGCGAGGAGGCGAGAAGTTTCGTCGCTTAACTACATGGAAGGATGCGTATCGCCTCGCCTGCTGGCCTTGGCGCTTGCGAGCGCACCGCGACCTAGTGTCACGGGACTCGGACTCCCCCGATGACGCGCGATACAACGCAGCGACTGGCGATGATGAAGAAACCCATGCGCGGGCATTTGTCGGCGGCGAATGTCCTCGCTCCGAGTCTGTCCTATTGCTAATTGCTGGGCCGCGTTAAGCGACAACGGGCTCGGGACTGCAGGGCTGAAGCTCCGGCTCGGTCTGCGGATCGCTCGCGGACTTGGTGCCGCTTCCGCCTCCACCTCCTACACCGGTCGCCGAGGTAGGTGACGAGGACGAGGCGTTCGGATCAGGATCCGGGGTGACTGCCGCCCATTTGGTCGTGTA